CCTCCCAACCAGTTTCAAAACGCACGCCTGAATCCGGATTCTTCAAAAGGTAACGTTGGACCGTTCGTAATTATTTGACGCAACCCAAACAGCGCTGTGTGGTGCTGCCCCCCTTGGCATTTGGGGGCCCTTTGGGCCTGCGCTCGGCAAAATCTGCGATGCGTTCCACACACGCTCGCCCACTCCTCCAGCCGCGTGTGGCTACTGATGTGGCTACTGATGTGCGCGCGTTCTGCGGTGGTGACCCACAGAGGCTGATGCTCGTCCGTTCGTTTTGATCGTCCTCCTGTGCCCCCCCTCCAACGCCAACCCTTTCATGCCCCCCCCCACCCAACCCCGCTCCTTAGCATACAGACAGCAGCGAAGAGGCCTGGAGCGCCGAGTCATGGAGTGTTTCTCGTGGCTCGGACGGAGAAAGGCGTCTGGGCGGAGGACGAAGTCGGAGGGGAACACAGCAGGTACCCCTGAACCTCTCCCGCAAGCCCCCCTTCCCGCCACCCTCCATGGGTGTAGTTGTCGATGGCTGAGTGACTGGGTGGGCCAGCTGAATGGGTGTCTGGGTGGCAGAGTGGTCATGTGGCTGGGTGGCCAAGTCCTTTGAGTGGCTGAATGATAGAGTGGCTGGGTGGATGAATGGCTGAGTGACTGAGTGGCAGGGTGCCGAGGTGTCTGAGTCACTGGGGATGGCTGAGTGGCTGGCTGGTATGGTTGCTGGGTGGCTACGTGGATATGTTGCTGGCAAAGTTGCTACCAGTGTCAAGGACTTGTTGTACTGGACTGTTTCATCTCATCCACAAAGTTCAACCACCATATCGCTGGACAAAATATTTATTGTTCCACTCATTCTTTCCAAAGTTACTTTAACCTTGCTGAGTTCAAGCAAAATGTAACTTATTTGCTGTTTGTATGTTGAACTTCTTTCGCACAGTACATAACCAACCGTGCTAATCGGAGGTGCTGTAGAGTACTTTTATTGGTGATCTCTTGTTTCTAGCTTCCGAACTCCCTCCTATCATCTCTTTTCACAAGTCACGATAACATCGCTCTATTCAAGAAACGTGTGATTTATTTTCTTGGTTCTTTTGGTAAAGTCACGTAGAATGGAAATAATAAAATAATAAAAATAAAACATAATAAAATTATATTATATAATAAAATAATAATAAAATTATATACTATAATTAAATTATAGAATATAATAATATAATATTATATAATGTGGGATTTATTCTTTGCTGCAACACCATCAGTGCTCTCGGTTGCAAGCCACCTTATTTTACAGAAGTTTGTGTGCCTGTGTTCAGCAAACAAAACATACAAATGTTTTTATGACGTGTGATGAAACCTGCTCCGAGACACCCCGGAGGATAGGCGGGCGGCGCTCATCAAAACCGCACCGCGATCATCGTCACCGCGCTTGTGACTGCCCACACGTGTCCCGCTGACGCATCATCTCGCCCGCACAGTGGCCAGCGGCAAGGAGCCGGCGACCGCCGGACGGAGCCCTGAGCCCCGCGGGGAGCCTCCTCGTCCCTCCGTGACCTCCGCGACCTCCGCCTCGGGCGGCCCGGTCTGCATGAGCGGCAAGGCCGGCATGAGCCTCCGCCACGACCTCGCCTGCTCGACGTCCGGGCTCAACTCCATCTGACCGGCCGACGAGAGGACGGCCCCAACGTCCGTGCGGGGCGATGACGTTTTCCCAGCGACGACGACGTCGTGAGCAGGTCGAGAGGGACGCTTCGAGCCGAGTGCCGCGTGCGTGGGGTCAGGATCGCCACGCCGCCGGAGGGCCGCGGCGACGCCTCGTCACCCCAATCGCAAACGGACAATTTTTTAAAATCGTCCCGGTTTTATTTGGTCGCGCTTATCGGCATAGCCTCACGAGAAAAAGAAGGCATTTCTAGAGGGAACTCCCGAAGTGAGCTGTGCACCACCTTGCAGCGGAGAAGCCCCCAGTTGATGACGTCACACGAATATTTCTGAAGACATTTCAATAGCGTATCATTATCCACACTGGGGGGACATTTTTATTTTATTGTGACGGTTGTTTGTTGCATGTCAATCCAACCAAAAAGTTAATGCTTCAACCTGAATATTAGCTGAATTAAGTGACAAAGCCCAATTTAACATGATGTTTTTGTTTTACAATCATTGGTCACCCCGCTGAGACCATCAACTCAATACAGTACACTCGGGTACCCGGTTTAATCGCGGCTGATTATCCAGATTCTGTCCCAGGGTCTCGGCTGACTGTACCACCAGGCCATCTCATCCTGAAGGGAGGTGGACGCTGGGCCGAGTATTACCCACGTGACCAATCGACGCAATTACGTAAGAACGTGATTTCGTTGACACCCACTGCCATTCACACGACTTTATTATTGCAGTCTGCAGAGTTGGTCCTCAACTTCAAGAGCTCGGTGACTGTTTAGATTTTAAGTTTTCGTGACTGCAATGTTCCATACTCTTTGGTTCTTTCGGTAAAGTCACGTAGGTATAAAATAAAATAAAAACTTTTTAATACATTTTTTTTCTAATTTTTTTTAAATAATAATAAAATAAATTAAATCACGACGTTTCGGAAGCAACACAAGATTCCGTCATCAGGTGGGAAACCCACAGCAAGAAATAAATTACTGTAGTGGACAAGAGCCGTTCGTAGCAAGATATTATATACGGCAAGAGGGGGGGGAGGAGTCAGGGAGGAGAAGTAATTTATTTATTGCTGTGGTTTTGCCACCTGATGACGGAAGCTTGTGTTGCTTTTGAAACGTGATTTTATAGATTTTTTGATTATTTGTAATTTTAAAAAAAACTTTTTATAACAAAGTTTTTTATTTTAAACCTACGTGACTTTACCGAAAGAACCAAAGAGCTCGGTGAGTGACACGGGCGTCAGGTGAGATGTTGCTGAGAACAAGACGGCATTGCTGCGACGTAGTGCGCTCAACTTCGACGTGACTGTCGCGTAAGCCCAAATGTTTGCCTTGTGACTTTGCGCTATTGTATACAAATTGAACCAACCGTGATTAAGCTAATAGTTCACAAATTACAAATTAACGTCATAAAAAATGTAAATCTGCACACGTTTAATGTTCACTTCTGAAAGCTACGTGTAATGTAATGGTGCCCTTCCGTTGATCCAGATAAGCCTCAATTAATCTGAAGATTCATGTTGAGGAGGGTTCTGCGCCGTTGGGATGTTTGGCCGCATCCCATTAGCGACCGTTTGGCTTTGCCTGGGAAGGACCGGGAGAGAAACCACCGCTCTGCCCTCTCCTGACTGCCTTGCGACCCTGTGGGTGGGGGGAGTTTCACAAATCTCTCCGTGACCCACCAACCCTCGCCTATAAACTAGCACATCCAACATCGCAATGGGATAATACAATTTTGATCAATTTTTATATGATAAATCAATAAAACTTGTGCGATACACAGCGTGCACATCTTTTGTGATCTATGTTTATAACATGGCCTCCTAATGTGGCACATTCTTTCATGAGACGTGTCGTTTGTCAGTCGGTGTCAACACCGGAGTTATTTCCATCGCACGGGAGACCGTGAGAAGCGACACCGGTGGTGTAACCATCGGGCGAGTCAGAACATCAACACCGTGATGGGCACATCTCCTTCGTGATCGGGGGATTTAAAGACGCGAGACACAGTGGCCATGCACCTCAAACTGGATTTCGTAGCAAACCCACTGGAGTCTGCGCTGCTTCAACGGAGGGGGAGAAAGAGCAAAACTACAACCAACTCTCTATCGAAGCCCTCTCGTCCTGGCTGGGAGACAGCGGCACCCAGCATCTGACACTGGGATGTTCCTACACGCACCCAGAAACCCGTGCCTGGTGACGATGAAGCTATACAAGTCTGGTAACAAACACACTGGATTAGAAGACGCACCCTAAACTCTTACTTTACATTACAGGGGAAAAGTGCGTCTTATAATCTGGAGAATACAGTGACAGGGCAAGTGGTAAAAACTCTGCGCCTCACAGCAAGAAAGCACCTGGGTTCGGCCCGGGTCCGTCTCTGTGTGGAGTTTCTCTGTTCTCCGTCTGCTCTCCGTCTGCTCTGCGTGGGTTGGTTTTCTGTGAGTTTTCCAGCTTCCCTCCCAGAGCCAGCCCCAACATGCAATGCAACTGCGATTGGACAACAACAAAAACAACACCTCCCAATACTGAAAACTCACCGGCAAATTACTCAACTGGGATTACACTCGGCAGCAGCAGCAACACCAACATCGCTCCCTCGACTGTGAACTTGACATGAGCCTCTTGCAAAAAACAAGTCCTGGCACTTTCCAGGAGTAAACGAGAAGAGTAATACTAACAACAAATGTTGTGCTTGTCATTTATCTACAACTGACCTCATTGTTTTATTTTAGCAGGTAAGGCCCACTGAGCTATATAGCTCTCGTTGGAGAAGCGACCTGCCCACAAATGATAGCCCAATCAAGTGGCTTTACATTTAGAAATGTTTATCAAAGTCTCTAAACGTGGCGGGTAACACCGGAGGATCCGGAGAAAAATCCAAGCGACCACGGGGAGAGAGACACGCAAACTCCAAATATACAGCGGCAGGCGTCAAGGTCGGGATTGAACCCCCATGACGTCCTGCGTGGCAGGCGAGGGAGTTCACATTTTGCCACCGCAGCGCCCCGCGACGAAGGGCCATTGGCCGAAACGTCGCCCAGTGTTGAAGTTGTTATTTGTGCTTGCCCAGCACCCACAGACGACTGCCATCATCATTAGCAGCAGCTCATCGGTTGTTGTGCTTAGTTTGTCGTCCTTGCGCCGGCACCTACGATTAGCACGATTGGCTACGTACGGTGCGAAAGAAGTTCGCCGTTGACGCGCAGTCGTGCGGCACGCGCAGTGCGGGCGAAGCGAGTTGAGTCGAGAACGACGCGGAGCGCGGCGCCCCACGTGGTGCCCCCTCGTGGCGCCCCACGTGGCGCCCCCTCGTGGCGACAACGGCGACTACCACCACAACGAGCGCCATACGACAGCTCCCAGGCGGTTAGTGGTCGCCTGGGTAACGCCGTTGTTGCACACACACACAGAGAGACACAGAGAGAGAGACACACAGAGACACAGAGAGAGAGAGACACACAGAGAGACACACACACAGAGACACACACAGAGAGAGACACAGAGAGACACACACACAGAGACACACACAGAGAGAGACACAGAGAGACACACACAGAGATACACAGAGAGAGAGAGACACAGACACAGAGAGAGACACACAGAGACAGACGAGAGGATGGACCCAAAGGTGAGTGGTGAGTGTGGGGTGAGGCGATGGTTGGTGAAAGGTGAGTGGTGAGTAAATGGCAGGCGAGTGGTGGGGGTTGCGTGGGTGGTGAGTTTCAGTCGCCTGATCAAGACTCAGCTGCAGGCCAGGCTACCCACCCCTCGACTCTCCTGTAACAACAACAACTAGACACATCACGGCTCATGGCGAGCACATCAGCCGTGGTCACTCCGCTGCTGGATGAAGGCTCCCAGGATGTCACGCGTTGGGGGGGGGGGGGTGTGAGTCTGTTGAACACGTAGCAGGCTTTCGCGACCAATATTATTCATAATCAACGTTTTTGGGTGAGATCGCGTTATTTATAAATGTGTCGTAACCCACCACCACCCGACACGGCCAATCAGCAAAAAAAGTGTCACGTTGACAAAATACAAATAGTTCACTGCTTTAGCCCACTGGTGTGTTGAAGCGTGAAACCACAACATTTACAATTTTTGAGTTGTACGACGTTTCGCTGGTAATTGCATCCAGCATCATCGGGCAATTCGCCAGAATCTGATGCCCTTCACGGTGGGAAGAGATGGAGAGGAAAGCTCCTGGGCAGTCACGTAAATGTCACGGTGGCTAGGAGACGTTGACTACCTCGCCTGGTGTGCAGGAGGTCGTGGCTTCGATCCTGACCCTGACGCCTGCTGCTGCTGATGTATATTTTTAGCTTGCGGTGTCTCTCTGTCTCTCTCTATGTGGTCGCGTGGATTTCTCTACCGGGCCATCCGATGTTTCCCACCACATTTAGGATCAACATCACCACGCGTTTAGAGTATTTAGCTGCTTTGCATTGCCACAAGAGGCACTTGGTTGAGCTATCATTTGTGATTGCCAGGTCACTTCTGAAGAAGAGCTACACAGCTCAGTGGGCCTGACCTGGTCAAATAAAACCACTCGTAGTCGTCGTAGTATCGTGCTGCCGTGCAGAATGTGCATACCACCAAGGGCGAGCGACTACTGGGTCACCACATTATTTGGTGATGCTACTGCTGCTGCATTGGTGCTCAAGGGCAATTGACACAATGAAACATCGTCGATAAAACTGTGGCCTCAACAGTGAAAACACAACAGGTAACGTTTCGAGCAATGGCCCTTCTTCATGGCAGACTTGTTCACTAAATGTTTGCACAGACGTGAAATACCTGATCGATAGAACGATGCCTCAATCAACCTTCCTTTCAAACAGAATGATATATCCGACTCGGCGACCCATACAGGCCCCATGAGCTGATCATCATCATCGATGTAAATGATATATTCTGACACACTAAATATATTTGGATCGGTAGACTTTGGTATCGTTGTAGTCCTAATCCTGGACCTAAACCTAAATCTAACCCTAGTCCTATAAACTCTGCCTATAGGGTGAACCCTTGCCAGTTCTAACGTCGTCTTGAGCTTGAACTTTGTCTCTCTTCATGGCCATCCCATGGCCATCCTGTTTACCATCAGCCGTAGGGCCAGTGGGAGGGCTCCTACTCGCAGCTGGTCGGCTATTTGGTTCGGGTGAGGATGAGTCGGAGGGTCAGGACTCGTGGTCGGTCGGCGAGTTCGTGCTCGGGTCAGTGCGAGGAGTGGCTGGTTGGTGAGGTCGAGGGTCAGTGCGAGGAGTGGCTGGTTGGTGAGGTCGAGGGTCAGTGCGAGGAGTGGCTGGTTGTGGAGGTCGAGGGTCAGTGCGAGGAGTGGCTGGTTGGTGAGGTCGAGGGTCAGTGCGAGGAGTGGCTGGTTGTGGAGGTCGAGGGTCAGTGGATGATGGCTCGTTGGCTCGGGTTGGGGCAAGCCAGTATGTGGCTGGCTGCTGCTGCTGATGTGCCACTGTCTCTTCCGTGCGTCCCCTCGCTACCAATTTGCGTGGCCTTCTCAGCGTGGCCCCGTCCACGTCTGATGCTCACGCGGCGCCCCACCATGGACGGAGCGGCGGCGGGTCGGGGGCCCGGAGGTCACGTGGCTGCTGCACCCCCAGGGGGACACGCGCGTCTGTCCCCCGTGGACGCCCTGTGCGTCTCCCTTATTCTCGAGGACTGCCTCCACCAGCTGCAGATCCTCGGGTGCATCGCCCCACGCAGCCCCCCCGTGAGTGCCGTCGGTGCCGCCGTCTCTCCAGCGCGTTGAGTGGCGCGGCGAACCCGGCCCCCAGAGTTCCATTCCTGCACACGGCCAACATCCAGTGACGATTATCTGAACCGGTCCTGGGCCTCCCCGAGGTCAACTCGGTCTCAAATGAGTAGCCGGTGCGGTGCGTAAACATCGCCACTTGGGAGACGAAGGCATTCGGACGTGGTCCTGGCCACGCACCCGTGCCGTGCCGTGCCGGCCTTGATAGGTGCTCGCTAACAGCACTTGCCCAAACAGTATGTCAAGGCTATACGGGGGATCTTTGTCTTTGTGGAGCGTTAGTGTGATGGTTGGCGCACCGCACATTTTGAACCGGTTCTGGGCCTCCCCTAGGTTGACTCAGCCTGAATTGAGTGATTGTTTTATTGCGTAAATACCAGCACTGTGGAGATACAGGCGGCCAGGCGTGGTGTTGATCACACCACTTCCCTCGTGTGCCGTGCCGACTTTCGTTGGTGCTCGCTAACAGCACTTGCTCCAACTATCTATGTAGGCTACACGGGGGACCTTTGTCTTATATGTGAGGGGTGCAGTGATTTGCACACCACCTCATCCTCGTCACCTGGGTTTGATCTCCGGCCATGGATATTACCAGTGGAGAGTCGGATATGAACCTGTGTCTGGGTCTCGGACTTAAATATGAGTGCCAGATGCACTTTGCAAATATCGGCACTGGGAATACGAAGGCGATTAGTCATTCTGCTGGCCACAAAACATTCTCTTGTACTCCCATATGCAGCAGAGCAGATGGGAAAGTGTTGCCCACCTGCTGTGTTGGCGAGAGGTCACTGGACGGGTCTCAGAGGTGTCTGCTCAGTGGTTACACTGGTGCCTCCACAGCAAGGAGCACCTGGGTTTGATTCCCAACTCGGGCACCTTACTGCGTGGAGTTTGTCCTTTCCCCCTTTTCTCCACGTTCTCCGGTTTACTTCCATAGCTAAACACACATATATATATAATTGTTGAACAAAAAACCCAGTGCTGAAAGATTACCCGCAGACTAACTGAATTGGTATTCACACACTGCAGCACTGCCACCCACTTTTGCGAAAAACCTTGCAGGAGCCTCCTGGACAATTGTGTTGAGACTTGGTGATACCTTTCTGGGTTAACAAGCTTAATAATAATAATAATACTAAGCCCTGTAATATCCACTTCTTTGGGCTGTTCTTTAATACAGGATGATGCCTTGCTCATGGGGAGATGCCTTTATCAGGTTATAACTAAAATACCCTAATTAATGAAACCCTCTTCAAGCCGCCAAACAGCGGCAGCTCGGTCACGACACACGGGGAGTGCCCCGGTGGCGAAATGTTAGCTGCCTCGCCCGCTATACAGGAGGTCGTGGGTTCGATCTCGACCCTGATGCCTGCTGCATATTTGGAGTTTGCGTGTCTCTCTCCCTGTGGTCGCGTGGATTTGTCTCCGGTTTTCCCCTCCACATTTAGAAACATGTGTTTGGAGTATTTGGCTGCTATGAATGTCCACATGATGATAATCCACTTTGCTGGGCTATAATTTGTGGCCAGGTTACTTCTGGAAAAGAGATATAGAGCTCAGTGGGCCTTACCTGGTAAAATAAAACAAGTTCAGTTTACTAAGCACTTGCCTGTGCTTGTGATTCTGAACAATGTATCCACCTCCCCCCCCCCCCCCCCCATACTGTTGTGTGTTCGTGCCGAGGCGCAGGCCGGAGACAACGAGCTGGGAGATTCCTTCCGCACGTCGCAAAAGATTCCAGGGATCCGGCCAAGTACGGACCAGGAGTTCCGTGATGCCCTGGGACAAGATCCCATCCCGTCTGACACGCTGTGCAAGGCGCAGGCCAACAGGTGCGTGACTGCCTGCCTGCCTGCCTGCGCACACAGGCATGTGTGTGCGTGTGTGTACGTGCGTGTGTGTGTGCGTGCGTGCGTGTGCGCGTGTGTACGAGCGTTTGTGTCTCCGTGGGGAGTGGTATTGCGGAGGCTAGTGGGCTGCGTTACGAACCTGTGACAATGATCTAAACTGGTCCTGGGCCTCCCCTAGGTCGACTCAGCCTCATACGAGTACGTAGTGCGGTGTGTAAACATTGCCACTAGGGAGACAAAGGCGGCCGGGCATGGTGCTGGCCACTCACCCCCTCATGTACCGTGCCGGCTCATCAGTGCTCACTAACAGCACTTGCCCCAAAGTTGGTCAAGGCTATACGGGGGATATTTATCTTGTCTACCTCTACAGATACACGTGGGGAGTGGTATCGGTAGTGGATAGTGCCCTGCTCAACAAACACAGTGACCCACGTTCCCGCTCACGGCCACACATCAGTGACAAATATCTAAACAGTTACTCGGTTTTTATAATTTTCCCAACAACATTTTATTCCAGATGTGCGACTGGTTTTGTGTCATGGGATAGGTCATGGGTGATGACACCAGTAGCAACATGGGGGGTGCCGCGGTGGCTAGGAGATGTTAACAACCTCGCCTGGTATACAGGAGGTCGTGGGTTTGATCTCGACCCTGAGGATGCCTGTATATTTGGAGTTTGGATGTTCTCCCTGTGGTCATGTGGATTATTCTATGGGTCCTCTGGTTATTCCCTCCACATTTAGAATCAACACGAGTTTTGAGTATTCGGCTGCTATAAATTTACACGTGATGATAAGCCACTTCGTGGGGCTATCATTTGTGGCCAGGTCGCTTCTGAAAACGAGCTATGTCTCTCAGTGGGCCATACCTGGTAAAGCAAAAATAGTTTAGTTTAAAATCGGGATATAAAATAAACCACCCGTTGGTGTTCCTGCGCGTCGCAGGCGGTTTGCGGAGGCGGTGATTGCGGAGACGCTGCAGGAGGTGCGCGCAGGCGGCACGTTCCAGAGCCTGCTGAGCGCCGTCGCGGCCGAGAAGGAGAAGAGGGATGCCTACGACGCTGCCATCGCACGGTTCGCCCAGGATCGCGCTCACTAACTCGCTCGCTCGCTAACTCGCTAACTCACTCGCTCGCTAACACGCTCGCTCGCTCGCTCGCCCGTTCGCTCGTCGCGGCTACGCGCAACGACACCGCGGCTTAGATGACAATTCTCAAGCCGCCAGCAGATGAGGGGATTCCCCACGCCGTGTCGGTCACATGGGTTTTCTTGCTACCATAATTCACAATGCCGATTGGTGCTGGCTGGTGAGAGGTAGAGAGGGTTGGACCGGTTCCGACATCGCTTCCCGGCGACGTTGGCCGTCTCAACGCGAGACGTCGCTGGGTTCACGGCACGGCGTGCTCACCCCTGTACCGCCGGAAAACGCCATTCGACCCCGAGAGCGGTTTCTGTTTCCGCGCCGTCAGGGAGGAAGAGGCACGGAAGAGAGTGGCGGCCCTGCAGAAGGAAATCGAGGACGTCAAGAAGGAGAAGGAGAACGAGCTGCAGGTGGGCCCCACGCACGCCGTGTCCCGTTGCTCAAAGCCGCGTGGCCTCGGGGGCTCACGGGTCACAGACGCTGGGCCGGCGCCGCTGAGATCCTGCGTTGGGAGAATCAGCCAAGCTGCTCGTGATTAAAGCGGGCTCTCAAGTGTGGCGAGTTCGTGGTTTCAGCACGGTCACCAAAAAACTCAATCTTTACAATAAGAATAAATAATAATAAAAAAAATCCAACTACGATAATAAAAGAATATTACAAATTATAACAAATTAAAAAGCTATTGCTGTAAATTTGGATTGGCAATTTTCATAAATTTCGGATCTGAGAATTAATTTGGAATTCACTGTGGGTCACAGCCATTTTTATTGCAAAAGGCTTTGACCCACAGTGCCAGTGACTGCAGCCACCCAAACCAAACAATGGACCACATCGCAAACAACTGCATTCTACGCCGTCTCTCCGGCGGACTGGAGAATATTGGCCACGCTGCTTCCAAAGCCACAGCATGGCTCACACAAAACTTAAACCTGGATGTACAATTGAGGCGTAACTTGCCATACGCTAGAAGGAGATTGCCTGAGGCTGTTCACGAAGGAAGGCGCTGCTACGTCTCACAGACACAACCTGCGGTGGCTTCACAGTGTGGGGCGAAGATGCCATGTGTCTTCCCAGCTGAGCAATCCCAATAGGTGTGATTGTCATGCAACAAACATTCGGTGGGAAAGTGCCGACCCTCTGCTCTGTGTCCCAGCGGCCACTTGAAGGGAACTCAGAGGTAGCTCTGTGAAATCCACTTTTCCGTGGGCCGTTCTGTGACGTATTTCTGGACGTATGTTGAACTTATTTCACACTCGATGTAACTAATCTGCTAATCGCAGGTGCGGGGGAAGGACAACAAACTAAAGACAAAAAGCAGTTCTAAAGAAATGAGTTTTCAATCTAGATTGTTTAAAAGTGCGTAGCTGCAGTGGCTTCCTAATATCGGAAGGAAGAGTGTTCCAGACGGCCACAGAATCGCCCATGGCGTAGGGGCGATGCAGGGCCTCTGCTCTGCGAGCGTTTCGAATCGCCGCTTTGTCTCGTTACCACGTCGCCGCCGCCGCCCCCCGCCGGCAGCGGCAATGGACGAGGAACAAATCGGGGGACGATTTAAGAAAGAGAAAATAAATATAATCGCTAACGTCGCTCACGGGGCACTCGCCCCCCCCCCCCCCCCCACGTGTCCGTGGCAGCGCCTGGAAGAGGAGATCACGACGCTCAAGGACGAGCTGCAGGAGGCGAAGGCCCGCAGCGCCATGGAGGGGCGGTACGTGCGGCGCATGGCGCAGGCGCGACTCTCACAGGCGGCGCGGCGTGAAGAGCACGCGGAGCTCGCCCTGAGAGACGAGGTGCAGGTGAGAGCACGAGGTGCAGGTGAGTGCAGGTGAGTGCACGAGGTGCAGGTGAGTGCACGAGGTGCAGGTGAGTGCAGGTGAGTGCAGGTGAGTGCACGAGGTGCACGAGGTGCAGGTGAGTGCAGGTGAGTGCACGAGGTGCACGAGGTGCAGGTGAGTGCAGGTGAGTGCAGGTGAGTGCAGGTGAGTGCACGAGGTGCAGGTGAGTGCAGGTGAGTGCAGGTGAGTGCACGAGGTGCAGGTGAGTGCACGAGGTGCAGGTGAGAGACGAGAGAGCACGAGGTGCACGTGAGTGCACGAGGTGCAGGTGAGTGCAGGTGAGAGCACGAGGTGCAGGTGAGAGACGAGAGAGACGAGGTGTACGTGAGCCCGGGGCACACGGCCTGGTGGCGTACACGTGGAGTGTGCTGCGGAGACACTTGTAGGGCCACGTCTTTATTACACACACACCCTGACTACTGTACATACACTTCTTGTACAGTCTATCTCGTGTACCTCATCCACCCAGCCTGTCATATGCCGCCTACGTAGCATGCCTACCCCGGCTACGCTCCAGCTCCTCCGGCCACGATATCCTATGGGAGGCTGTCTGACCTGACCCAGCCAAGGTACAGGTCCAGCCACTGGTTCCTCAGACCTGGCCCTTGTAAGGACGGCAGCTAAGGGAGTCCCAGGGTCCACCGCTGGCCTCACCGAGCTCCGGCCCTTGTAAGGACAGCGAAGCTCGGGGTGCAGGGTCCTACTCGAGCAGGTCTTCAGGCTTCGGTCTTCAACTGCCTCGAACCTCGCCGGAGGTCCGCCTTATATACGTTTCTCAGCCGAGGGGCGGGGCTCTGAGGGATCCCAGAACCCCCCCCCCCACAGCCCCCACCCGTTGGGAGGGGATGCGGGGGATCCCAGAATCCCCCACAGCCCCCAACCGCTTCTGGGCTGCCTGTCGTTGCCTGCAAGTGGAGCCCATCCGTGGCGCTGCACATGTCGATGAGAAGACGTGAAAGCGCCGTCGCCCGTTGTGCCTTTCAGACGCTGGGGAGCGAGCTGGAGAACGAGAGCCGGGTGCACACGGACATCGACACCTTCCTGAGGAGGCACTACGCGGTGAGACAGCCAGCGCCAGCACCCTTCACGCCCGCCAACGTCTGTGCATGCGTGAACGAAGCCACCCCAACCGTTCGGGAGAACCTGGATTTTAGTTTTCGTCCCCCACAGTATTCAATAGTCTGGCTTCATGATGGGCAGTGGGTGAAGCTACCCAACTAGTAGGTGGGGCTACTGGAGAGTGGGCGGGGCTACCTGGGCAATGTGCAGTGCGACCAGAGCAGTGGGCGAGGCTACCAGATGAGTGGACAGAACCACCATAGTGGGTGGGGCTACTTGCGTAGTGGGCGTAGCCATCAGTGTAGTGGGTGGGGCTACCAGAGTAGTGGGTGGGGTTACCTGATCCCTGTCTGACAGCATCGATGTGAGGCCGCTCACAGAGTGGGTGGGGCTAGCGGCCGAGTGGGTGTGGCTTTGTAGAAGTGGGCAGGGCTGAGAGAGGGAGGAGCTCCCAGCTCCCCATGTGTTCCCGGTTGAACCTCCGATGGAACGTAGCCGAGGCTGTTTAAATTTTTCCCGCAGGACCTCTCGGAGCAGCTGGAGTTCTGGATGGAGAAATACGACCACGACCTGGAGGCCAAGCAGCAGGAGCTCAACAACCTCAAGGCCACGCACGCCAGCGACCTGGCTCACCTGCAGGACCTCGCGCGACAGGTGAGGGGTCACCGAGTCGGCTACAAGTTGCAACGAGCAAGAGGAGTGAGCAAGTTGATGGTGGAGCACGCTCGCCAGACAAACACGACACCCACCCGGACAAACTAGCCAACCAGTAACGAGACGAGACCTATCCCTCATCAAATAGTCAAGCAAACTAAACTAAAATAAAATCAACTAAACCGTGTAAGGCCCACTGAGATATGTAGCTGTTTTTCAGAAGCGACCAAATGATAGCTCAAGGAATTGGCTCATCATGGAGCAATGTATAGCGGCCAAATACTCGAAATGCATGTTTCATCATGTGGAGGGAAAAACCGGAGGACCTGGAGAAAACTGCATTCGACCACAGGGAGACAAACACGCAAACTCCAAATACATAGAAGGCGTCAGGGTCGGGATCGAACCCACAACCTCCTGTGTACCAGGCGAGGTAGTTAACATCTCATCACCCCAGCGCCCCTCAGCAGGCACTAACTACACTTGACCCTCATCAACCAGCCGACTGGCCGATAGAATTAACCCTCCCACGGATCCTGACCCGAACTATCCAACCAGTCATGAGGACGATCCCACTGAATGTAACCCGAACCCAACGAGCCACGAGCATCAGCCCTCCCACAAATCCAAAACAACGAGTCGAGCCAGCCTTTACAACGAGCCCTCCCATTCACCAACTCGCCAACCAGACTCACGAGTACGAGCATTCCCACCAAGCCTAACCCTAAACAGACAAGTGGCGGCAAATTAATCTGGTTGTAAATGAAACCTTCAAGTCTTTGCTGGAGCTCATTCATCCTCTCTCCAAACTCCTGCCCTGCTCTCATCCCACCCACCATTTCCCAACCCCCCTTCACCCCCCCCCCTGCACCCACGTAGTACTCGGAGTTCGAGGCGGTGGTCATCGAGGACCGGCTGGAGAGGGAGGCGGAGCGCAAGCGTCTCGAGCAGGAGGAGTTGGAGCTGCGCTGCACCATCAGGGTGCTGCTCCTGCTGCTGCTCCTGCTGCTGCTCCTGCTGCTGCTGCTGCTCCTCGCACCGCACATTTGGGGTGGCCGGCAGACTCCAGAGCACAGAGCTCAGAGGTCCTGGGTTCGCGTCCAGGATTCAGCCGCCCGTGATAAAAGCGGGCGCTCAAGTGGAGCGAGCTGATGGTCTCCAGACTTGATGTGGTCTCGACCAGGTCACCATTGACGACACAAAAATCCACGTCAAATTTCGTTCCGCACCGACTTTGGATCTATTCCAGCTCTGACGATAAAAGTATCGATTTCACGGCTGCACGACCACCGAATTGCCGTCGTGCAGAATGGGTAGGAAAGCGCTGTGGTCCAGAGGTAACTTGACGGGCTCTCAGCGAGTTCTGATACATCGACGTCCGTGGGCCGTTCTCTAAGACAGAAGGTGACATTGGCTGTGCAGCGAGAGATCGGATTGTGTGCGTGGTCTCATGCCACGATGCAGATACGTCGGGGTTCGGGAACGGAAAGTTGTTACTGATAACGAAACGATGTATAACTGGGGATTTTGCCCCATAAAAATTATGGGAAATGTGGTGGCGGGCGAATAGGAACGGTAGAGTGTAAACATTGCTAATGCGTCGCCAAGCGTAGCAATTTATTTGCCACAAGAAACAATGGAATGTGGTAGGGATAGGGACTGTGGCATAGGGAAAATGTTGCGTTTTGTAGAGTAGTGGCTGCAGGAATCAAGCTCATGGAGTTGCTAATTTCTCCAGCCCCCACCCGTCCCTGCACGCCACAAACCCTCCCCCTTCTCCCCGTGAACTGCAGCCACGACTCGACAAACCTCTTCTTCCCCCCCTCCCGTGCCTATACAAAGCCACAACAGCAGATCATTCTTTCTCACCTGATGACGGACTCTTGTGTTGCGACCAAAACGTCGTGTTCTTTTATTATTTTTTTCTATCTACGTGACTTTACCGAAAGAACCAAAGTATGGATTCCTGCAGTCACGAAAGCTTCAAATCAAGATTGAATCGGGATCGTGTTAAAGCATAACAAAACGTTTAAACGTAAATTCAAATGAAGGCGCTTGCAATGAAACACCGTACCACAAGCCTCACCGCAATCCACAGGCACGCGCATCACAGGCGCGTTCACTGCTGCCACTGCCTTGTGACCGTAAAGTGTGCTGTGTGTGTGGTGCGTGTGTTCGGTGCGTGTGTGTGTGGTGTGCGTGTGTATGGTGCGTGTGTGTGTGGGGCGTGTGTGCGGTGCGTTTGTGGGACAGATCCAGGCGTGGTGGCGCGGCGTGATGGTGCGCCGGGGTCTGGGCCAGTACAAGGCGCCCAAGAAGGGAAAGAAAGGCAAGAAAGGCAAGAAGGGAAAGAAGGCCAAGAAGGGTGGGAAGAAAAAGAAGTAATTGGTGTCACCGCCCACAGCTCTCCTCCTTCGCATCGTCCTTCCCGCCCTTGTTCACCACCACCGCCGCGTCCTGTGCTTGGCCATGGGCAATGCAAACGAATGCCGTATTTCTCTGGAATCGAGACACACTTCCTTTCCCACATTATTTCAAAGCACAAGCCTAGGACGTGACCACAATCCGGTATTTGGCATGAAAACCTGGCACCCGGACATTGACGTTACCAACGTCCAATCCGTGTGCGTCACTCGGTCCGCGTGTCGCTCAGTCTATGTGCCACGGGTGCCCGCTGTCCTCACACTCATAAAACGCTAATTGACCGTTAATACCTTGATATATAGAAGACCGCAGAGCTTGGCAGCTGCCTTCAAACTTGTCTGTGGTTCCTCACACCTGTGTGCGACGGCGTGTTACAAGTCTGAATAATAATTATTGCGATCAATATAATTGATGGCTTTCCCCCGCCGCCCGTGGAGTGTGGTGCGGAGGAAGGAGGGGACCCTGTGCGTTGGGATGAGCAGCGAGCTCAGAGCCGTGGCAGGGCATCTGCAGGCGTGGCCCGAACAGCTTTAGTCTGTTTGCTCCTGGCCTTGGAAACATCGCAGCATCCGCGAGGTTTATCTCGCAAACGCTTTACCCACAAGCTATTAGAGGACTCCCACCGGAACGTAAAAAAGTTTGTGCTCGGATTTTCGACGTGCTTTGTTTTGTCTTTTGGCTTTCATCGTCTCGGTGATCCAGTTCACTCTTGCAAAAGCGACGCCACTCCGGTCGCTTGAGTTGTTGCCCGCTTAAGCGAAATAAACTCGGAACCGACAACAAGAGAGTAACGGTACACACTTTAATGAAAAGCTGAAAACATCACAGTGGAATATAGTACAAAATACATACATTAAGGTGCTTTTGTACACAACTTGCCCGGCCACGTGAAGTGGAGCCGTCTTTCTTTACAAATATACAAATAGAGAGAGCACGCCAAGAAGCATTCCCCCATCCCTCCTGCAGGGCGCTTCCTTCAAGACATTTACAAATTATGCCACCGAATGGGCCGAAACCAAATCACCGGTGAGTGCGCCCCCCACTTGCGTAGCACATCGATGTGCAGAGCACATTTTACCGGTAAGCCGCAAATTTTACCCACGGGCCAAATCCGAAGTATAAAACGTGAGCGCGCATATTGCTGTTTAAGCGTATATATAGCTCTTATAAACCTCAACATTACTCTGAAGTCTCCCCTAAGGCGGAGTAAAATTTTAAGTTTAATGATTCCGTTAACGATTTGCTTAATTTTTTTTTATAATTATCTTTTTTTTAAATAGCACGTTCGCTAAGATGCCCAGGAGTGAAGATGGCCGGAGGCTCAGCAACGCAATTAATTGTCCATTGCCGAACGATTAAGACTGACCACTGGAAATCGATGACAAAGGCATTCATGCAAAATATTGGAATAAAAAAAATCATCAACCATCTACAAAACAATACGGTAAGAGATTACGGCATTAAAACAATAGAACGTATAACCACAGGAATTGCTATTATGACAATAACGTTATACCGAGAATAACTACTGATATACCGATACTCGCACTGTAAGCCTGGATGCAACGCATGCTTTCAAAAAAGAAGTTAGGCTGTCAATGCTGCGCCAAAATTCTCTATACAAAATATTCCGAGTTATTATTTAAAAGACTTTTTTATTTAGAGACAAGTTTCGGTATATTTACGTCTTTTTTACTCTTTAAATTAAATAGGTGTATATTATTTTCAGCTGGCTATTTGCGGTGCGTGCCACACTCGGGGTCTCTATTCCTGGCGGCCGGTTGCATCCCTGCACTCTCTTGAAAGCAGTCGGGGGTTGATCGGCGGGGTCTGGCATGGCTCCCCCCCCCCCCCCCAACGATGACTCGGATCCTCCCACTGCAATTGCCTCATTGTACTATCCGACTATCCGAGGAAGCCACCTGGGCATGTCATCTACCTTCCACCTCATGTATGGCCCCTTTCTCAATCCACTGCTGGATGAGGGTATTTGCACCCCGTTTGGGCTGCGGGGTTTAGTTTAGTTACTTCTCTACGCTGGGTCTGTGCCGGTAGGCGAAGAGGGCGGGGGGGGGGGGGGGGTCACAGACGTTGGGAGCGGAGTGCAGCGACGACAACGGGATTGGCGCACCGCCGTCCGCTGTCCGCAGCGTAGCCCTGCAGCAGCCTGCAGTGCCCGTTGCATGCGTGGCCATTGCCCATCCGAGCAGTATTCATTCATGAGGGCCAACCCTTCTTAGCTTCCCGAGGTACGACACATTCTGGGTGATCCTGCTTATAAGACCGTGACGTAGCCTGCTCAAATAACCCCCTTGTGTCTTGGCCTAAGGGACCCCCCCCTCCCCCAACTGCTATTGAGCCACAGCAGCTCTGTTGCCAATAATAGGATCGCTGGGAGTGCAGCCAGCAGCAGGAGAGCTCTTCGTTGCTTTCTGCGACTACAAACACCGGACTGTATGGCACCCAGACCAGCTGGTAGTATTACTACTTTACATGCGCACATGTCCAGGGTTACAGTTCCATTTTTATTACGGAGCCAAATATTAACAAGTTAGCTGTAGGCACTTGAAGTTTAATATATATATTTTTTGGGGTTTTTGTAAAATTATGTTTGAATTTTTTGTACACTATTCATAACGATAACATTATTTGTAATAAACTGACAAAAATAACAGTTTCAGTTGAGGCGATGGAAGGAGTAGAAACTCTTAAACGTGAAGATACACTCACTAATAACCGTAGTTCTTAATAGAGACGGGCAAGAGATCGCTTGGAAGGTGGCGATGTGAAATCAGGGATTAGCAACGAGTGTGGAATGGTCCATGCGGGCAAGGCAAGCACGGCCGAGCAGAGCTAACGATCCGGGGCTCGGCTAACGGGACTGGTCGTGCCGTCACTACCGCGGCACGGCGAGCTGGGGGGGGGTAAGGGTTTAGGGTGGGGGGGGTTAGGGGCTGCATCGCCATTTAGTGAATCGAGAAGAAAACCCAACAGGTGTTCAAAGGCGAGGGGGGTGAGGGTGTAACGCACGCGTGGGCTGTGCCACAGGCGGTGCGCGCGTGGCACCGCGCTTACACGGCGGCTGCGGCTCATCCGAGCGCTCGTGGTCAAGCACAAGCCCCCCCCCCCCCGCCGGCTCCTGCCGCCCGAGCCCCACGCATACAACAACAACAAGACACCCCCCACTACGTTCACCCCATTACGTCGCAACGGCAAGCATGCAGTAATAACGTCGTCGAATACAAAACTATATCTGTGGGTTTTTCAAAATCGCTATCTTACAATTATTTTGGATGACGGGGTGGAGGCGTTGGTGGCGGTCGGGTTTGGCAATGTGCCACGTCCACGCTTGCTGCGAGAGTTCGGGGGGGGGAGGGGGACCAGGCCGCTTGTCGATGGGTTCCGCCGAATGGGATCAAAACAACGCACCTGGCTTGCGGCAGGCATTCAGAGATTTTAAAATTCCTTTCGAAATCGCGATATTTACAAAGGGCAGCACGTTACTTCTCTTGGTCGCCGGGACTCCGGACTGACGATGAGTTGGGATTTGAGAGCGGTGGGAAATTAACAGTAGTAATCGTAATGAAATAAACCGTGAGAATAATACTACTAAAAATTGTTATGGAATGTGGAGTTGGATAAGTTGAGCTACCTGCTTAAAAATAATGAGTAAAAAATCAAAAGGTATAAAGCGCAACCCACGACAGCGACCCTGAAACAAAACAAAAATCAAAGACGGCATGGACCCTGTTGGGAGCAGCCTTCCCAACGACACGGAGAGCGGTCGGCATTGAAGCGTTCGGCTTCAACAACAACACCACCACAACGAGGCCTGTGGTGCCACCACCAGAGTGTACTCTTCATCTGCTAAAGTGTAATTTGGTCAAGGCAGGAAATGTGTTCTTTTTGCCAAAGCCAAAATAAAACTCTCAAGGTAAAAAGAGAAAATGTTGCTTACAACTGTCGGACAAGTTTTGGCTTAAAAGGTGTGATGATGAGAAAAAAACTAAGACTGAAAATTAAAAATGCGATTTAAAAAGTACACCTCGTGCATTTGGACAGCTCTATTTCCCTTCCTCTGATATAAATTAGTCTACTGTAACTGCTTGCAATTAGTCTTAGAAGCTAAGTGCTACGTGATGGCACCACGTGATGGCACCACGTGATGGTACCAAGTGATGGCACCAAGTGATAGCACCAAGTGATAGTGCCACGTGATGGCACCACGTGATGGTACTGCGTGATAGCGGCACTACACGAGTGGAAACCATCGCAGGCCTCCGTGCCATCGCAGGCTTGCAGACCCCTCGCACGCCGGCACCGTGGCCTTCGTCAAATTCGCCACCACCACCGAAAAGACGTAACGGCGCCTTCGGGCCACTTGTTGCCATCGCAAGAACGGTGAATACTATAACAGCAATGCTAATACATCTTCTGGGTCCAAAGTGCATTACGCAGCCTCGTTCACGTCGCAGTCGAAAGCGGCAGGGCCTGCTGATTAAAGTAATCGTAGTGGGTGTGTGGCTGAGCCTGGAGGCAGGGGATGCCCAGAGGGGGGATGGGGGAGGGGCAGTAAAAGGGGCCATTTGCCCTGGGCCTCGCACACAAAGAGGGCCTCACGGTTTGGCCTGCGGGTGGTGGAATTAGGGGCCTCCGCGGGGCCGATGTGGATTTTGCTTGACAGGTGATCGGGGGGGGGGGTGTTTGTGCGGGGGGTCACGGGGCGGGAGTCAGACCACGGATGCTTGGCTGGGTTTGCTGGTGGCCAGGTCGAGTAGGCACTGGACGGTGAGGGACACCTTGCTGAGGCCTTTCTCCTCCAGGATGTGGTGAGGGAGGCACAGCTGCTCCTGAGGGCGGGGGACAAACACCGACAAAAGATTTCTCTCCTTGGCCTCGACGGAATTCTTTGTCGGTGCAGCGCGCGCTGCATTCTCCAACCACGCGATTGCGAAGATCCCCCCGTGTTCAATTAGAGAGCCCCTGTGAAGGCGAGCATTGTGCATAAGGGAGTGGAGTCTGGCCAGCACGATGCCCAACTTATTCCGCAATGGTGATGTTGATAAACTGCTACCGGTGTTAATTTGAAGCTAAGTGGACCTTGGGGAGGTCCCAGTACTGGTTCAGATATCACTCTCCACTGATGTCAGCAGAACTGAACTCGGGTCACCGAGTTTGTAGCGCAGTGCGATAACCACGACGCCACCGCTCCCCACAGGCACTCGTACCGCTCTCCACACCACAAACAAACATCCCTGTATAGCCTCAACAGACTGTTGGGGCAAGTGCTGTTAGCGAGCACCTGTAAAGTCCAACATGGCACGCGAGGGGGTGGCCAGAAACCACGCCCAGCTGCCTTTGCCTCCCAAGTGGCAATGGTTACACATCGCACGAGGTACTCATTTGAGGCCGAGTCGACCTAAGGGAGGCCCAGGACTGGTGTTGGCCGTGATCGGGAATCAAAGTCAGGTCGCCGGGTTAATAGCGCAGCGCGCTAACCGCTACACCACCGCTCCCCACACGCGCGCGCAAACACACACGCACACACACACACGCACACACACGCGCGCGCGCACACACACACACACGCACACACACACACGCGGTGCAATGCAGTTCAATGTAGAGACTGGGTCTTTAGGCCCATGCCTACCTGTGGAACTCCCATCTTCTTGCAGGCCTCCAGGAAGTTCTCCACATTTCTTCTGCACTTTGCCATGGTCAGCTTAGGCTGCGTGGCAAGAACAAGAACGTTCAGAATCAGAATATTTATACTGGAGGAATCTGATGAGCTGTAAAGCTCTTTTGCGAGTAAAATTCAATAAACTTGACATTCGCCGATGGCAGAAGTGACAACAGGCTGACGATGCCATGCGTTGTCAATCCTTGTGGCCCCACGCTGTCCACATTGTCAATTTTATACTTAACACCACATGGGTGCTGAGCGTTTAACCCTTTGCCATTCTGATGACGTGCGTGTATGTACGTGCACGTCACCGCAAGACAAATTAAACTAAAATAACAGTATCGGTACCGAGACTCCCACAAAGCCATGCGGGAGGGCGTGTGGCACAGTTTGGCGCCAGATGTCGTGGAGTGCGGTCGTGTTGCTACGCTTCTCTGCGGTGAGTACAACATCTTTAAAAACAACGGCGCTACGCCTCTCTAAATAAAATTAACGCGAACCGCTTGCATACGTCTAGGAACAAGAAAGGGTTAAAAAAAACTGCTCCTTCTCATTCGGTTTAACTAACGTTTGGGGAGGCCGTCATCCAGCAATAGATTGTCCATGTATTTACAGTTTGACTGCTGTGGGTAAAGTTGCTATGCTATGTAGCTCTTTTTCGGAAGCAACCTGGCCACAAATGACAGGTCAAAAAAGTGGCTAATCACGTGTAATTTATCGCAGCTAAATACTCTAAATGCACGTTTCTATATGTGGAGCGAAAAACCAGATGACTCGAGAAAAATCACCACGACCACGAGGAGAGAGACACGCAAATTCCAAATAAACAGCAGCAGGCGTCAGGGTCGTGATTGAACCCACGGCCTCCTCTATACCAGGCGAGGTCGTTAACATCTCCTAGCCACCGTGGCGAGGAGATGTTAACGTCCATACGTCGTGACACCCCGGGCTAGCCGTGCGGCGGCACTGGCATTGCCGGAGAACTGTTGGCGACACGCAGCGGAGACGGTGTCGGCAGAGTCGTGGGCGACTGGGCACCCACCACGGCGGGCGAGGGCACGTGGATGCTGGGCACGGAGCGCGGGCGGATGTGGTTCGCCAGGTGGCACAGCACGACGCCGTCCATGAGCGCCGAGCCCAAGTTCACCGGGTCTCCCGGCAGCGTCACCTTCAGCCGGCACTCGATGTTCTGAGCGGGAAGCACAAAGCGCACGCGTGGGGCGACGCTCGGCAGGGGCGGGCGGACGGGAGGTGGCCCCCCTCCCCTTCCTGTTACCGCGAGTGCCGTTTGTTGCCCAGCACCGACGCACATTCACAGCGGCGCTGCAGCTGTACTCGCGCGCAGCCCCTTTTGTCGATCCACTGCCGGTGAGGATTATTTCACCGTACTTCACCGTACTTCACCGCGCGTCAGCGCGGGTTGGTGAAGGCGGGGAGCAGAGACTTTGAAGCACAGAAGTACAGTGCAACGATAGCTTCTGTCTGCATTGCTATCGTTGCTGGCGACCATCTAGTCCCGCCGCCTATAACACCTGTTATGCATGGTGGTCCCTTTCATCCAAGCTGATGAGCATGTGACCAAGATCAGGTGCATTCCGAGTGATTTGGTCCAAGGAGTAAGACATAAATGAGTCAACAAACTAAAGTCTGACTCAGGGAATCTAGGCGAGGCCCAAAGCAAGTAGAAGACGCCGTTCGCCAGCGACGAGCGAGTTCGGGGGTTCATCCCGGGTGGTTGGAATTGCGCCTCTGGCTGCAACTCGCCACCGCGGCGGCCGCTTTGAAATCCCCAACGCAACGGCGACGCGAGGTCACGGGCCGCCTCGCACCTTCTTGAGCTGCTCTATGAGCTCCATCTCCTCGCGCACGTGGCTCAGCTTGCGCTTGACCGTGAAGCTGGGGTCCAGTCCCTCGAAGCTGTCCATGGCGCTGCTCGGGCTGTTGAAGGCTGCAAAGGGTCGGCGGAGGAGGGGGGGGGGGGGTCAGGGCAAGGAGGCGTGGGGTGTGAGCGCGGCCCCGGGTCTTGACCTGCGTCCCCCCCCCCCCACCCCGTCGTATTTACCAGTTACGGTGCCCTACTGACTGGCGTGGTGGAGTATGATAGAAAAAACGGTCCACGACCTGCACGGTGTGGGCAGGAATCTCATCCAGCATGGGAACGACACCGCAGGGTTCTACGTGAAAATGAGTTGCAAAGGAACGGGCCCAATATGTTCCGTAAATGTAAAGAATGTGAATATTATTACGATGCTAGAGGCACATTACAGCATCTTAAGATACAGCTGCATGTAGATGCTATATGAATACAAACTGTATTGTACTCATATTCTTTGGTCTTTTGGTAAAGTTACATAGATAGAAAAAAACAATTAAATAATGAAAATAAAGTGAATAAAAAACAATAAAAATATCACGACGTTTCGATCGCAACACAAGCAATCGTCATCAGGAGAGTGCGAGCAAGTGCCTGGGCACACACACACTCACTGACACTTCCCAGGCACACTGTTCTTAAGTCATGAAAATGACGTGGAGAGATAAAACACAAAACTGTTCATCAGACGCTCGTCAACATCCGCGCCACCAAACGAGCGGCGAGGACCACCGCCGCGGCGTTCGCTCGCGACGAGCGCCATCTGCTCCTCCCCGACGCCACGCGACGCCGGCGGTGGCGGCTCTACCCCGACGCGCCAGGCCACGAGGGCGACCGACTACGTACCTAGACGCTGCTCCAGCAGCCCGCCTCCGGCCGGGCTAAACAGGAAACTCCCGGGCGGTTTGCTGGCCGGCACGGAGGCCGCGGCCCTGTGTGGGGAATGGGGCGAGTGCGTGTGCGCGTGCGAAGCGGTGGCGGCGGTGGCGGTAGTAGGGGGGGCGGCAGCGGCCGCGGGGGAGGACGGGGACGGCGTTGTGGGGTGCGTCGGGGAGCTAAGCGGCGGCGGCGGCGAGCGAGCGGTGGGGGAGGGCGATGGGCGGGAGTGCGGGGGCTGGGAGCACGGGCGCACGGAGGCAGATTCTACTTGCGAGCGACGGGGGGCGGAGAGCAGGCGTCGAGCGTTAGTGAACACACGCAAGAGGCGTTGGCGGGAACGACAGCGACGGGTGTGTTCGGTGGAAGAACAGGGAGACGATTAGATGGCAGTGGGAAACAGAGACACAACAGTTCGCGGAGGAGAAAGAGTACAAAGAAAATGCAACAATGAAGTGGAACCAATTTTAAAACAGATTTTTGTTGAAATGCTTGGGAGTGAAAAGTATAATATATAACCGTAATGTAACGGTACACAAAAAAAGCCACACCCTCACTATAAAAACATTGGCAGGAAAAAATATAAATTTTATAACCGAAAAAAGTAACGCGCCAAATATTGACAGGTTAGAGGTAGTTTGTTAAGGAAACGGTGAAAAGACAAGATGTTGATGTACACTGCTTAGCACAGGTCTCATGAGAATGCATGCAAGAGGTTTAGAATGTATGTAAAGAAACAGAATAAAACAAGTCACCACGGTTAAATCATGCTCCAAGTCGTACACGTCACATGCAGATTGAACGATCGGTGTCAACAGTGACTGAGAAAATGAGAACAGCACCACCACCATGGAATGTCTGGACGTTGTGGATGACCCAAAACCTCAAATGGCCACATTTCTATTTTGGCACCCAACATGAGGTGATTGAATCTAAATACGCAACCAACGTTCAATTGTGAGCATTGGTTTTACCCCCCCCCCCAACCAAGATAAAAATGCGGCCACATCGTCGTTGTGAAATGAGGCGATGTGGAACGAACCAGGGGGGGGGGGCGGGGGAGGGAGGGAGGGGTGCTCGGTGCGGGCGGCGGATCGAGCGATGGAACGAGGGCGTCACAGCCGCGGTGCTAGCGCAAGGCCGCGGTGCTGGCGCAAGGCCGCGGTGCTGGCGCAAGGCCGCGGTGCTAGCGCAAGGCCGCGGTGCTGGCGCAAGGCCGCGGTGCTGACGGGCGTCCGTCGTGACGGGCGGTCGGGACTCGGGAGTTGGGGGTTGTCGCTGCTGGGGGGGGGGGGGGGGGGGCTGGGGGGGGCTGCGCGACGATTCTCACCGGAGCGGAGCTTCAGGCCGAAGAGGGGAGCGTTGGAGCCACTATAAGCGTTAGTGGGGGTCTTCTCTTCGCTCTGCAGGGCGCACACGCACGCAAACATCACACCCCGTATGGCCTTAACAGACATTTAGGGCAAGTGTCGTTAGCGAGCGCCTATTGAAGGCCGGCGCGGCACAAGCCCGACCGCCTTTGTCTCCCCAGTGGCGATGTTTACACACCGCACCGGGTACTCATTTGAGGCCGAGTCGACCTAGGGGAGGCCCAGGGCCGGTTCAGATAATCGCTACTGGTGATGGCCGTGAGCGGGAATCAAACTCGGGTCGTCGGGTTCGTGTTGCCACTGATCTACTATTCCGACGGCAACTGGTGCGACGCAGCATGGCGACTGTGATCCATACGATGATTGTCCGTTAGTAGCAGCTTGGTCATGAGGGCAAGACCCCTGTTTCACATGAAGAGTATCTTTGTCAAGGTACCCCTGTGGGTTGGTGGCCTATACAGCAGCAGTTCCACTTTGCTCCTTTTCCCCCGCTGACATCCCAATTGTGCCAGCAGCGTCGTGTGGCGAGACAGAAGGACTGTGCAGCGAGCAGTGCATCACCCTGTGTCGGAAAACGGCCGCAGAGGATCGACGCCGAAGAACTACTTCCGAGGTCACTTTCAATTGACCTCTCTCCCCACGCCGGGGTTACGTTCCGCAAAAGGTGCTCGTTGCATGTCCAACTTGGGCTTTTAATTCTCGAGAGTTGGAATGTAGCCAAATTAGGTGTAAGAAGTAAATTTAAGGCGACGGGTTTTTTGTTGTGCCGTCAGTGGTGATCGGGCCGAGACCTTTAACCCGCTATACCGGAGAACCTGGTGAGATGTCGGGCGGCAGCTTGGATTCAATCCCAGGATCTCAACCATGCCAGTTCAGTGCTCTAATCCGTGAACTAGAGGGCCAACTCTCATAATAAAGACAATTACAGAGAATTTGTTTGACCTAGGAGAGACAAAAAACTATTTTTCAGGAGGAGCCTGCGTTGGGATGTTTAGCCAACACCAATGAGGTATGTTTTTAGCCACAGGAAGATAACCACGCAGAACAGCGGGGAAAACATACAAACCATACGTACGAATCCCACACAGTAAGGCGCCCAAGTTGGATATCGAATCCAAGGCCTTCTTGCTGCGAGGCACGGGTGCTACACCCACAGCACCATCCTGCCGACCTCCATATTTGACACTCTTACACACTTCTGCACGATACTTTTGACTCGCTCAATAACGCTCATCTCCAAGCTGTTACGACGGTGACATGAGATGACTCACGTCGACGGCACAAATTCACGATGCCCGATGAAACGACAAACACGGTGAGCAAACACACGGTTTTACGAGCTGGGACGCTGCGCTGCAGATGTCGTTAACTAGACCCCAACCGCGGCCACGCACGCAATGCGTCACGTTCTCCGTGTGCGACGAGCCCCGCGGTGCGTAGGTTCACCGTGTGCGACCGAACAGGAACAAGAGAACAAGGGGTGCATCATGATTTTGAGACACGAAATGTACCTTGGTGAATTTATGGGGCTGGGGAGTGGCTTTTGGCAAGGCGGCGTCAGGGGAGGAGACAGGATCAGCAGGGGACTAAAACAAAAATGATAAACCAAAGAAACGTAAACAAACGAAGCAGCAAATGCAAAATGACACGGATCAATGGACGGTCGCCGACAGTGGAATGAGCCAAATACGAATGCACGCCAGGTGAGGTCAAACACCCCACGTGTGAGAATGAGACTGGATGTTAAACACAAACTCAGTTCAGTTTGGTGGACTGTGATGACGACTTGTTTCTCAAGCTGTATTTGTACATCGTAAAGGAATGGAACATTGCAGGTGCCGGCATTGATCATCAATCGCGGTCACCGAAATGCCAACGTGAGTGGCGTCGGGTCAGGAGACAAAGTGTCCATTTGGATCTCTCGCAGAGACAAGCGATACCTCTGTATTAGACGATGGCCGGCAGAAGCGGGCAACACAGAGCTACCTCTGAGATCCCTTCAAGTGACCTCTGGTCCACACAGAAATAGGGGAGATTTTACCATTATCAGTGGGAATTTAAGAAAATTAAGTGCAGAACAGAATTAGTCATTGGTGGACAGGGCTGAGACCATCAACTGACTCCACTTGAGATACCCGGTTTAGTTATCGGCGGCTGCCTGGATTCGAAGCCAGGATTCTTGCCATTGTCTGCTCAGCGCTCTGACTTGAGCCACCCAGCCACCTAACTTAAATAAACGGTGTTTAAATGTGAGCCGCTTGATATTCACACCACAGCGATGAATGTCTCGATCCACACACACATTCTGTAGACGCAAATGAGAAGTGTCCCTTACCACTAGCAAGGCACTATCGTCAATGTGGTGTGGCTTTCTGCTTGGAGGGACGTTTACACACTGCAAGGGAGGGGATATGAACACACACGCACGCGCGCACACACACACAGAGCACAATGAACGAAACATAAAATCAAAAGGCCAAACGGCAGGTGGCAAAAGCTAGTATGATGCACAGCAGCGGTTCTCAACCTTGTTTGGCTACTGCTGTACCCCCCCATGCCTGACCTAACGTGGTTCTGAGAAATAAATGTATGAATAATGAACATCGATATTTTAACCGACTGTCTATTTTGTGAGATTTTCTAACTCAAGTGCGTGCAAGCGAAATGTGTTCGCGCTTGCTCGCTACTCTTGTAACCCGCATTGTTCACGATCACTCAGTCTAGAAAGGTTTTTAGTGCATCTTTCTAGGTTACCATATGGATTTACATTTTAATCGTAGTTATTTTATATTGGCAGATTCAGATAAGATGATTCACCGACGACTCTCACGTGTGATATAATTTCACGCACGTTTATAAATCGCCTCGCGTGCCCCCTGGTTGAGAACCACGGGTGCGCACGTGCAAACACGCACGGGCCTTTCTTTTTGGAGACGCGCTGCCGGGTGAGCGCCGCCAGAAGCCGTGCGGGTAACGCGAGTGCTTTTTTTGTTTTTTACTCACAACAAACGTCACCGAGCCGGCAAGCGCAGGGCTTGCGAAGGCGGGGAGCGTAGCCGAGCATGGCGTACAATAATACAGTACAACGACGGGTTCTCACAGAGGCCGGGAGAGTCTCACCATCGCAGCAGGGGGGTGACTGTCGCTGCGTAGTTCCCAATGAAATAATCTGGCGGGGTCATTTTTCAAATTCGGCAACTTGTCACTGAGATGTTTAACCAGTTGAGGACGAGCGAGAGCAGGATAGTCTCACTTAGTTTGCCACGAGGGGGTGATGATTGCTGCTACGTGTCATCCCCAATTGAGTAATATGCAGGGTGATTTTATAATTTTGCAAATAAACCATTTTTAAACTCAACTATTTAGATTGTATAAGGTAAGGCCCAGTGAGCTGTGTAGCTCTGTTTCAGAAGCGACCTGGCCACAAATGATAGCTCAACGAAGTGGCTTATCACGTGGAGCAGCCAAACACTCTAAACGCATGTTTAAAAATGTAGAGGGATAAACTGGAGGACCCGGAGAAAAACGCACGCGACCCACGACCTCCTGTATACCAGGCGAGGTAGTTCGTATTCTTTGGTTATTTCGGTAAAGTCACGGAGTTAGATAGAAAAAATAAAATAAAAATTTCACGACGTTTCGATCGCAACACAAGCGGTCGTCATCAGGAAAAGGGGTTATCCTCTAAAGGCAAACTGTTTATAAAGGTTTGGAGGTGGGGGTAGCCCAAGTGTGTCAGTAGCACCAGAAGCATGGGCGGGGCAGCAATGCCAATGCAGCAAAGGGCCGCCAGGAAATCACTGCACCCCGCTGCACACACCACACTGCTGACGGTAGAGGTTGATTGACAAGAAAGCACAAGTCAAGTCATGACCCAAAGTGGTTGATGACATCTTTCCGATGATTGCTGAGTCTATAACCTTCCTCTCGGTTGAAATTGTGTCTGTGTCTGTATATATGGATGGCTTCATGAACGAATCTTTGTTGATAGCCAGTAGGCTTGCAAAGTACCATCGTCTTAGAGAAATCAATTTCGCGTGAGCCAGCCGCATTAAAACAATGATCAGCCACGGCTGAGGTATTGGTCCTGCCATGGTTAAGATCTGCCTTATGTTCACGAACACGGTCAGAGACATGTCGCTTAGTTTTCCCAATGTAACTGCTGCAGCAGATACAGCTTAGTTTGTAGACGCCGGGATATTGCATGTCAGGAATCTTGTCCTTCACAGATGGGATCAGATCACGAATTTTATGTACTGTGTTAAATCGGACCTGGATCTTGTGTTTGTTCATGATTTTGGAAATCTTTTTTGTTACCCCTGCTAGGGTGATGGTTTTGATTGGATCCTCAGATGGCTCCCTCCTCACGGTTGGGGTGATGGATGTGCGGATTGTGTAATCAGAATATCCATTCGCCTTGAAATAGTTAGTTTACTCTACTCCCCTTCCTGCCATTTCCCATGGGTAAAAAGGTTAAGGAAAGTTAAATCAAACATTAAACTATTAAATATATTTTTGTAACACCTAACCGATAAAAATGAAAACCAGCGCGCGACAGAGGGTTAACTGGTGTGGGGGATGATGAGGGTTGTCGAATGCGAGCGAGCGAGCGAGCAGACGGGCGGCACGGAGGGGGGCGGCGACGGCAGCAGCAGCTCGGCATCCCCAGAGCCGTCGGTACACTCACGTCACTTTGCGGGTCGCTATCTGCGCTGTGTTGGTGGACTCCGCGAGGCTGCGTAAAGACAACGCAGAGACACGGCACACGCGGGGCAGTGAGTCGGAGGTTACTGTGATAGCGCGGGAGCTGGAAAGCCCACCTTGAGCGAGAGCATGTTAAAATGCATCCGTCACCATCATCAATATTGCTTCAGGAACCTTGAGTAGAGTAGAAAAATATTTCACACGCAAGTTGGCAACCTCGTACTGCTTGTTGTGAAAGGTAGGTGGGCTAGAGGCAAAACACGTCATAAAGGAGTAAAGATATACTATAAATTACTACAACTTTTTTTTTTATTTGACAGGCAAGGCCCACTGAGCTACGTAGCTCTTTTTCAATAGCAGCCTGGCTACCACAAATGATAGCCCAATTAAGTAGCTTATCATGTTGAATTGTATAACAGCCAAATACTCCAAAATAAGTGATGTTGATTCTAAATGTGGAGGGGAAAACCGGAGGACCCGGAGAAAAATCTACATGACCACGGGGAGAAGATGCAAACTCCAAATATAGAGCAGGCATCGGGATCAAACCCACGACCTCCTGTATACCAGGCAAGGTAGTTAACATCTCGCCAATGCATCTACCAAGCCGTCGCCGTATCTCGCTTGTTGCACACAAAGTGCCTGCCGCAGGTGAACCACGACACCTCGCTGATCTCGTTCATCACGCAGCGTAAACCATCATCATCACGCCAACTCCGCTCATCCTCGTAGCGGCGCCGGCTTTTGGCCGGCCATCGAACAAAGGCGGTCCCACCGCGTCGCCCGCTTGCCGATGCGCTTGTGCGCAAACAAGCCGGATGCCGCAGGCGGGGGTGCACGCGGCCGGCTGGCGCACCTTGGTGGCGGTGAAGGTCTGCGTGGTCGAGTGCTTGGTCAGCCGCTGGCGCTCGTCCTCGTAGCGCCGGCGGGCGAGCTGCGCCTCGTGCCGCGTGCGCTCCAGCAGGATCTGCTCGCGCTTCTTCTGGAACTCGAACTCGGCAGGCGGAAGGTCCTCCTGCTGCCACGGCGACGGGGCGGCCACGTCATCAGGCGCATCGACGACGGACGGTCCATTTAACAAAAAAAATAATCCGTTCTGCCAATTTTTATTTGAAGTGTACAATGGGCGTCACGTCGCGGGACGGAGAATCCATTGGAGACTCCCGCGGGGGAGAGAGAGCCGAAGAGAATGTCCCACAGATGCGGATACTACGGAGCTGCTTCCGAGATCCCTTCCAGTGACCTCTGGGGCAGCGCTTTCCAAGAATAATGTTCGTCGCCCGAAGGTCAAAACAAATTAAATGAAAAACCGACATTTAATTCGATGGGTATTTTTGTGGAGTCACTCGCAATAGGGCTGAAACTATCAATGCTGTGACTGAACCCAATTTAATGACTGGTGGTTGCCTGGATTCAAAACCATTAATCTCAGTAATGACGTCTGAGCCACCGGGTCATCTTATGAACGAATAATTTTTAATTACAGTAAGTTCTCTATTTACAGTAGGCAAAACAACATTAATCGACACCTATTTTACCGCTGACTTAATGACATTCATTTAGGATATGTTCCTGGCGCTCATTTTTAGGTTACGATTCGCAGAAAAAACATGAAATGAGTACCGAAATAGTTAACAAAAGATACCCAAAAAAAGATGCAAGCTTAAATAAAAAATAAGTTAATACAGTATCGGAATATTGAGAATGTGCTGGAGGTATCCGATGAGCTCTAAAGTCAAGTAATAGGCGGGGTCAGAATGTTACTCACCAGAAATGGCAGCAGAGATTACATTAACAGAGATACATTCACAGATATTACATTCAGAGAGATATATTCACAGATATTACATTGAGAAAAATTACATTCACAGAGATCACATTCAGGGAGGGCAGTACGGTACTGAGTACACGGCGATGTTGTAAACACCGAGGCTTTATTCGGCACCCGCTGGGTCAGTGCGTCGTCGAGCATGCTGCCCAAACCCCTGGCGTTCTCCTCTCTCGATTTTTGTTAAAATCCACGTTTGCGGTGAACCAACGCATTTTAAATCTAATCGCGTTCCCCAATTCGTCGGCGAGGCTACAGTGAAACAACGACGCAAACAGGAGCAACGTCAAACAGGGGACCTTACTACGATTCCGTCCGCTCACAAGACTCACCTGATAGACCGTGGTATCCGTCGCCGTGACGCCGGGTTGACCGCTGAAAGTGTGGATGGCAAGACAAAGATTAGAGCGACAAGGACGACTGCTTGCTCGCACCCAAATACAGACCGAGAGGGACAGTTCCAAGCATGTACGTGTGTACGCTGAACTTCTTTCGCACCATGCGTAGCCAACCGCGACTAATTGGAGGTGCGGGGAAGTAAGTCGGAACACAGAAAGAAAAAGACAGCCAGCCATTTAAGTGCCTACTGAAGGAAGAGTTAAAACTACTAAAGAACGTATTCTATTTTACCAGGTAAGGCCCACTAAGCTATATAGCTCTTTTTCAGAAGTGACTTTCCCACAAATGATAGCCCAACAAATTGGCTTATCAAGTGGGAATTTTTCACAGCCAAATACTCTGAATGCATGCTTCTAAATGTTGAGAGAAAAACCGGAGGACCCGCAGAAAAATCCACGCGACCACGGGAAGAACATGCGAACTGCAAATCTACAGGCGTCAGCGGTTGGGATCGAACCCACGGACTCCTGCATGCCAGGCGAGGGAGTTAATATCTCACCACCATGGCGACCAAACTTTCGAGTGCTACCCATATCTGTACATCAGCTTGTCTTTTCATCCATGGTTACATTTTATGCTTAATCACATCACACATCATCATTTATCGCGCACTTTCAGATGCCCTTCTGCGGTCGTCTGGAACGCTCTTCCTTCCAATATTAGGAAGCCACTGGAGCTATGCACTTTTAAATCTAGATGGAAAACTCATTCCTTTAGAACTTTGTCCTTAGTTTGTTGTCTTTCCCTCGAACCTCCAATTAGCACAGTTGGCTGCGTACGGTGCGAAAGAAGATCAAGATATACCGTAGTAACCTTGGATCACAGACGACACTTGATCAAAACGAATCGCGCAAATTCCCCTGGGTCGCCAACCCGCCCCTCGAATACCGATAACCCCGCCTCCCCCCTTCATCACGCACGCGCCGCGTCCCACCCATCACAACCTCATTTCCCCAACAATACTTCTGCAGCCATTTCTCGCTTCGCGACAAAAAACGCCCGGCGGTCGCTGCCCTCACTTGCTGACGAGCCCCGGGAGCGGCGAAGCCGAGGTGCTGCCGGCGTTCCGCAAGATGCCGGCGAGCGGCGCGCAAGGTCCCCCTCCTTCTCCTCCTCCTCCGCCGCCGCCGCCGTGCCCTCCACTGCGACAACCACACGGACGACGCGACCGCTCACCGAACCTGCACGCGCTGCAGCGTTGCGCCGCCCGCGTCGCTTCGGATAACAGAATTTGTAACGGGCCGTTCTCCACAAACGATTGACAGGCGCAGGAAACAACAGAAGTGATGGGAATGCAACAAGAACAGTCGCCGATAATTGCCCAAGCTCTGCTGTCCCTTCATTGGCATGTTTGTCCACCACGATTATTATACACGCAGATGGAAACTGGAAGACCCGGAGAAAACCCGCGCGTACGAGGAGGGGGCTAACGCTCAATCCCCGCAGAGATAGAAATTAGTTCACTTGCAGTACTGCCATTCGTACCCTGGCCAACCAGGAGATAGCGACCTAAATGTCCACGGGCAAGGAGGGTGCCTCACGAATTTGTCTGATCCACCAACCCTCGCCACCTCCATCAGCTGCTGCCGCTGTTGCACGAATCGCAGGCGACCGAGGACCAAACGGAGTCGCCGCAGCTGATCTAGCGGCAGCACAACGGCAACGACACCTTGCCGACTACGAATGGGCGCTGTGGTGGCGAGATGTTACCTCCCTCGCCTGGTATACAGGAGATCCTGGGTTCGATCCCGACCCTGATGCCCGTATATTTGGAGTTTGCATGTTCTGTCCGTGGTCGCGTGGATTATTCTCCACGTTCCCCGGTTTTTCCCTCGACATTTAGAAATAAGCATTCAAGAGTATTGGGCTCCTATAATTTTCCAAGTGATAAGCCGCATCATTAGGTGATCAATCTTGGCCAGGTTGCTTCTGAAAAAAAGAGCTACCCAATTGATGGTTTAGTCGAGTGCCTATATCTTGACTCACCTGACACGCCCATCACATCCCGACGCGATAACCCGCGTCGCGTAGGGATGCGACACGCACCAACACAGATCGTGATTGTCAATGTGACAAGCGCTGCATAATCCAACCGCATTTCCGACTCGTAGCGTAGGACTGCAAAAGACACTGGTGTCGGGAAGACGAACACCGCACGTGGGCACTTGACGAAAGCGTCAACGCGCATTTGGCTTTTTTCCCATTCACGTGAGAAAATGGGCAAACAAGGGGGGGTTGCTCCCTGATGCGTGACCCCTGCTTCAAAACAAACATAGATTCACAAAGACATTTCAAATGAGGAAAAAGCTGTTGGTACATGCAGTGAAACCTCACCACAAAATTCCCGCTTGGTGCGCATCGCTCTGATCTAACCGTGTATAGATATTTTTATTTTTAAGTCCCAAAAAAATCCGAATCGACAGAAACCACGTCAACATTTCCTGACGTGACTTTTTTTGGCTGCACCGAACGTTCAATGTGGCCAAACAGCTTTCCACCGAGGTTTCACCACATTTAACAAACCAATCTGTTCACAACAACTTCACAGCAGGCGACCCTCTCGTACAGACACGTTTCAAGATCACTCTGCACGGCAAACACGAGACCCGCGACCAACAACACGGCAGGACTGCGCTCGCAACGAAGCCGAAGCGTTTCGCAAACCGTCGCCCAAGGCCTGGGCAAGCACAAGGCACCCGCAGGGGTCAGAGAGACGGGGGGGAGACCCAGCGCAGGCGAGCGAGCGGTACCTTGGGGCAGAGTGGACAAACGCGGGGGGGCGGCGTCTGTCCTTGGCAGTGAAGGACGAAGACTGAGGGAGACGTCTAAGACAAACACACGGGGGGGGGGGGGGGGGGCGGGTAGGCCGGGGCGCCGGGGGACACACGGGGGGGATGCACGGAGGACGTGACGACGAAGGACAAATGCACATGCGTGTCGAGAGAGACGGCGGGGGTGGAAACGTTTAGACGCGGGGAGACACGCGCACGGGGGAGACACGTGGGGAGACACGCGGGGAGACACGGGGAGACACGTGGGGAGACACGGACGGACACGAAGGCGACAGATGCACGGGACCACGGATTGGGGAGGAAGGAAGGTTAACGCACATTCTTGCTATGTTAGTGACAAACAGCGAGCGGCGGACATGCGGCAAGAGACCAGGGAGCATGCTCAAGCCTTGACCCACGCAGCCGTCCCAGCTGCCCGTCTGGCCAGGTCCCTGGCTGGCCCTTTAACGTGACCCCCCCCCCCCCCCCCCCCCGTTTTTACGCGAACTTCCTTTCGTTATATTTTGCTTCATTTACTCTCGATATATTTTGCGTCAATTCAGTGAAACGCTCGAGTTTCACTGCATTTGCACTCCTAAGCAGGGACGTGTAAATAAGGCCGGCCGGTACACTGGTCTGTCCACTGCATTGAAGGTAAAAAAAAGTAAGTGATCAGCAGCTGTGGAACTAAAACCCGATTTTAAAAGTCTCAATATTCTCTTGACTAATGCACTCGCTCATTCGGTGTCCGTGACCCTCGCTCATTCGATGTCGCACAGCTTCACAGGCAGAAAGGCAAAAGGCTAGCCACCATCTCAGTGCTGCGCTGAACATTTCCCCCATCAGGTTTAAATTCTGCCGTCAGGTTCCCGGCGCAGTGCTGCAAACGTGATGGTGGCCGGGCAGGCCGGCGAATTAACGGTCACCGGTGTGGGTGAAGTGAGCGAGGGGGGGGGTAGGGACTTGAGCCGGTACCTGGCGTCGTGAAACGATATGGGTCGTCGGCGAATGTCCGTCTCGCAGAACGACGCCGAGTAAACAACGGGCCTCCGCCTGCCGTCCCCAACAACGCAGGCCACCACCAACCCCCCCCCCCCCGACCACAACCACCACCACCACCACAGAGAAACGCCAGGCAGCACCCGTTAAACCGAGCAGGCGGCAGCAGCAGGCACGTGCAGCAGAGGGTGGCCGGCGCACGCCGCGGATGCGGTAGCGACGAGGCGTTGGTGTTGTCAGCGGTAGCGGCAGCGGCGGCGACGGCGGCAGGGGCACGGAGAAGGAGAGGGAAGGGGGGCGATGCGGCCAGACAAAAGCAGACACAGGCAGACGCGGGCAACGAAGCACGGTTAGCGAGCGCGCTCGCCAGCGACGTGACGCGTCGGGGCTCGAACACGCGACGACCGCCGCTTCCAGCGTACATTTTGCACCCGTTGGGTTTCGTCACTTCGGGGGCCTGGGGACGTGGCAGGGCCGGGTTGGCGGCTGCTGCACTCAGGCCAGGCGATCACTCGGATCTCGCAAGGATCTCGCCACGCCGCTGTAGGTGCCGCTCGTCACGCGGTCTCGTCGCCGTCTTTTTATTTTAGTGGACGGTGCCGAGCCGTTAACGAAACGGCACTGGCGCCGTGGCCCAACGACTCAATAATTACAGACGTATTTATTGCACGTAACGTGTTGCGTGCAATAAACACACGCGCCGCACTTTGTGAATCCACCGCTGGATTAGGGATTAGAGCCTCCCCACACTGCGAGCGGGTCGGTAGAGGCGGCGGTGAGCAGGAAGAGTAACACAGGAGTGCAGTACGGCGGTGGATTGTGCTGCACTGCCCACCATGGAGAAGTGTAGCAGACTGTGAACAAACTGCTCTGCCAGGTGGTCGCCCCAAGCCGACCAAAAGCTGTAGATATCACAAATATCGGACACATTCCAGAGGATTTGCTCATACATAGAGCCTTTGTTTAAATGTTAATCATTAAACTATTTTACGACTGCTATTACCCAACACCACCTAATTATATTGGGACGCAAATAGAACACTGCACCTGGGGCTCTAATGTTAAAGAATCTCAGGCCGACGCAGCCACGTCGGTTACTTCCGCTCACCCCCTTCCTTTGCTAGTCCCACGCACAGGTCACGCAGCATCGTCCCACATGGCTTTTGCTTGTCACCTCCCAATTGCCCAACTCCGCTTCACGCAATGTCCCCAGCTGTCAAGACGCCCTTAAGAGGACACGGGGGTGGGGGGGGTGGCGCTTTTTGGCCGACGACGAGACGGTGATTGCGTCATCTCTCGGCAGGACGCCACGTCACAAGTGAGGGGGCGACCGGGCGGAGCCGTACCTCTCCTGGCTCCCGTCGGCGCTGCGGTGACGCTCCCGCAGGGCGCCGTCGCCAGCCTCCCTGTCGGCGCCGACCCTCCCGCCGCCGCCGCCGCCCTGCTCGTCGTCCGCCGTCGGCGTTCTGCTGCAACGAGTCGGCAAGGGGCACGGTGCGCGTTAGCGAGGTACGGCAGGGGCCAGAGCAACGCGGCGCGAGATGCTGGGGCTAGTTAGGACTATGGAACAAATTTCTCACTACAACCACTACACACCCCTACCCTCTCCAAGTGATGCGATTACACGATTCGGGGTTCAGATAAGTTATGATGAACTTCTTTCGCAGCGTACGTAGCCGTGCTGATCGGAGGTGCGAAATAATAAGATACAATTCCTGATTTGTTTTATTTTCAGCCGTCTGCCATTCTGCCGCTGGATGAAGGCCCCGTAAGTCTGTGTTTGGTTACGATGTTTGCTTGACCAGACTTCACCGTGCCCATCAAAACGGAGTTGGCGAATGGGAGGAAAGTCCCAGGGGCCGTTACAGAGATATTGCTCGCCAGTGACGCGAGCTAGCGATGGCTGGGAATCGAACTCGGGGTGGCAGTTCACAGTGCGGCGCGCTAACCACTTCGCCCTCGGCTAAATCCAGAGATTTGATTTTGAGAATCAATAATTTTTCTCTCTTTATATTTTACCATCTCGTTTGTGCTGTATCTCAAAGTCTGGTTTTATGGTTTTGTTCATTCCATGAGTTTAAATATAGCATTCACATATTTGCATACAATTGTAATACTTTATTTCAAAATCACACACGCACAACATGCGCTTATCGGAAGTGTAAGAAACTTTTAATCGGCACATCATTACAAGCCTGGGGCCGATATCACGCATGTTCAAGTATCGCATTAGGTGGTCCATGATTTATGATTACTAAAATAAAATATTGGATTCTTCCATATAACACTGCAGTCAAACAGGTGCAAGCACTTCCGATTAGCACGGTTGGCTTCGTACGGCGCGAAAAGAATTCACCATACACACGTAACACGGCCCTACGTACGAGCATGACCCTACCCATCATCGGATGCCCAGCTATGCCTTACGCATTGCCAACATGCCGATGTGAGCCTAGAAGTATGCGTCTATAACCGTGCACATCCCTATCTATTACAGCTATGCCATTCTTGCGTATAGCAATAGAATAGCAATATCATTACAATCTGCTATTGCTACGTGTCATTGCAATGGGTTCTGAGCAAACCTAGAGCACGCATCTATTTTCATTCACTCTATTTGAGGAATCATGAAGTCGACGCAAGTTTTCTTTCACAAACTAAAACGTCTACCGCACAAAGGAGTCACGGCCTCGTCACGCTACGCTCTTCGGCGAATCTCAGAATAACCAAAGCAATGTTTCTGTTCCCCAGCGCTGTAGAAATGCTATCATTGTTGAGCAATGTACTAACTGTTGTTGTGATTGAAATCAAGACTTCCGGCATCGGGCGTCGACCAAGCATCTCATGAGCGGACGTGGTGTCCACTCCACTTGTTATTGTGCCCATGGTAATGAATGGCAATGCAAATGTAGTATTAATGCGAGCTAAAAATGCTGCCGTGATTATAATTAAATGTTGCCCAGGTTCTGCTTGTGAGCTTTTGAATACAGCACCATGTGTGTTTGTAATGGAAACGAGTCAAATTAATTGTTGGGTGTTTTTTTAAGTGAGAGTTCTTAAGTATGTAATGAATAATAAATGGAATCACAACCCCCCTAAACCTCACGCCCCCACCCCACCCTAACAAGATACTTGTTTGTCTAGTCGATGCTCCCGTCCCCTGGTTGTTAGTTGATCTCAACGAAGAGCAAGTTCCCATCGGGCCACGGGACATGATGCAGAGAGTTGGAGATGGGTGCATAGTGGCGTCCGCTCCTGCCACCTCACTTCTCATGGCCCACTTTTATACTACTACTTTTATTTTACCAGGTAAGGCCCACTGAGCTACATAACTCTTATTTAGAAGCGACCTGGCCACAAGAAATAGCTCAACCAAGTGGCTTGTCACGTGGAAATGTATAGCAGTAGCCAAATGCTCTAAACACACGTTTTTAGATGTGGACGGAAAAAAACCGGAGGACCCGGAGGAAAATCCACACAACCGCGGGGAGAACATGCAAACTTCAAATATACAGCAGGGGTCAGGGTCCGGATCGATTCCACGACCTCCTGCATATGAAGCGAGGGAGATAACATCTCGCCACCACTACCCACTTTTCTGCACCGCGGTGCGAGTATTCGCCGACAGTTAAAGTATTTTTTTTTATTTTAACACGAGCCACCAAGACAAGCAAATAACCGTATATAAACAATCTGTTGCAGATCCTTTTCTCTTTCACTATTTTTTTTCCTTTTCTCTCCCGCGTTTATGTTAAATTAATAACATTTACGTGCCGTAGAATGACAGCATACAGGTCTACGTGTCCGAGTGAGTGCGATAAATGTCAAACTTGAAAAAAACCCTGTGTGCGAGTTAAAAAAATCCATTCTTTATTTATTGCGTTATGGAATTTCCGTACAAAACAAGAATCGTAAACACGCTCGGACAAGTCTCTATTACACAGTCATATTTCTTTACGTGAGAATTTATACATTTTGATAATGCGGACCCTTAAGTAACGCTTAGCTCGACAGTGAATTTGTTCATTGGAGTGCACGTACAAACATACTTTGCATAAATACATTTACTTCTTCGAAATGAACGTGAGTGCAACAAAAAAACCCAGAGAACGCACAAGGCACTCCCAGTGTACAACCGAATCACAGCTGAAGACGAATCAATGGGACGTGCTGTCATGTAAAAAGATCAAACAACAAACCTCTCTGATCTTGGAGATACAAACCCAGGCTGTGTCCCCCTGGCCGTCTGACCTCTGATTATGACTACTACTACTACTACGCGTGTTCACCCAGAGAAGACTGAGTCTCATGACTCGTTTACAGCATGGTCCTGCCACGTTTTTACGCTGGGGGGTAATGTTGCTATGTGTAACTCCAATTGAGTAATTTGCAGGCGATTTCACAGCAATGGGATGTTTGGCCAATACCAGTCATTGTTTTTTATTAATTAGCCATGAGAGGAAACCAGAGAACCAGGCAGAAACCCACACAGGACACAGGGGAAGAGAATACAAATTCTACACAGAAAGGTGGCCGAGTTGGTAATCAAACACAGTCCCTTCTTGCTATGTGTTGATTGTGTTAACACTGCTCCATCCTGTAGCTCCAACGCTTGAAACTCGAATCAGACTAAAACTAGTTTTTTTTATTTTACTAGGAAAGGCCCACTGAGCTATGTGGCTCTTTTTCAGAAGCGACCTGGCCAAAAATGATAGCTCAATAAAGCGGCTTATCATCACGTGGAAATGTATAGCAGCCAAACACTCTCAACGCACGATGTTGAAAAAATCCAAGCGACCACGGGCAGAGACAAGCAAACTGCAAATATACAGCAGCAGGCGTCAGGGTCGGGATCGAACCCACGACCTCCTGCATACCAGGCGAGGTAGTCAACAACTCGGCACCGTGGCATCCCAGACACCCCGGGTCACATAAGATATTTATATTTTGATTGCATCTCACTCCAAGCTCACAAACTTGGCAGTTACCCCTCTCCGCTCATCTCCGTCTGGGGCCTCTTAATAAGACATCACAACAAATCTGACGCACGGGAACCGCCACACGATACGCGAGTGAACGCTGCCTGGTGTTTATTTGGGTACAGGCGTAGGGTATGGCCCCGTCTGCTTGCCCCCGATGACCACACAGCAACGACGCACGCGCGTACAAGACGCAAGACCGTATAAATGGAGGCTTCACCTCTGCTCGTCCCTCCAGCCGCCCTCGTCTTCAGAGCGTGGCAGCGGCGTCTCGTCTGTCCGCAACGGAAACAGCTTCTGCAGTCCGCACGAAATGGTAAAAAAAAAATTGGTAATTTTGTTGTGTCAGTCTTCTTCTCGTGTTGGCCATCACAAGTCGATATCCAAATCGCTGGACCGCTCGGTGTCGGTGTGATCCAGTTAAGTCACTTCGCCTTCTAGCCAACGGCGCAAGGGGCAGCCGTCAACAAAATGGACGACTGTTGCTGGGTAGCTCCGTAGTCACATAACGTATGGGTGGTACGCATGCACTTTTTTAATATGAATGGTAAATAAATAAAATTTGCCCGAGCCAACGTATTTTTTTTATTCGCCTCACTCAATAATGATGAATGCGTACACACAATTTTTCGATGTCTTCTGTAATGTGGTTGTTATTCGTCTAAATTCTAATTGCTTGTTGTTTTTACATTCTTGCTTTTGTCATTATGGAGACAGGTGACTCAAGACTATTTTGGTTCCCCTTTAGTTGGTTAAATAAAATAAATTTGAAACACACCAGAGTCGACTAAGCCCAATTCAAGCTAATCTGACGAGCTGGGCCGAGGTACAAGTGTAAGTGATTATCAGCGGAGATGATTATCAGTGCCAGGATTTCAGCTTCCTGATTTATGAGCCAATTAAACTTGCTCTTACGCCGAGGAGTGGCGGGATAATCGTGCCTGTGAGCAGTAATGTCGGCACATCCCGGCATCCCTGCAGTCGCACAGGACTGAGATTGGCAATCAACTAAAACTTAACGACCGAGACGGGGAAGACGTAGACTAACGTATGAATTACGTTTGTAGGAGATTGCTGGGTGGCTCGGAGTGAAGAGCACTGAACTGGCAATGCTGATATCCCCGGTATGCATCCCGGGAGCCATCTGCCACATAACACTCAGGTGTCTCAAGCGATCGGATCCGATGTTCTCAGTCAAGTGTCATCAATGACTGTCCCACTACCGTGCGACAAAACATTTATCTGTGGTGGAGCATGTGGGCAGGTGCGCCCTCTGGAGTGCGGATAAAAACAATCGTTTGAAAGAACCTCAGAAGAAGTTCTATGATTTCTTCCTCCACGGGCCGTTCTTTACCACAGAGAGTTGCACTGCTCTGCGAGAAATCTTAATGACCACCCTTGTCTCCAAGGGTGGATAGCAAAACTGGAATAAAACCGGGCGAAATCGTACGACGTGCAGACCGAACGGGCGAAACGTCCGGCGTTAAATGCGCGAGACGAGACGGCGGCGCTGGGAGCGCGTGCACCTCGTGAGATATCCTGCGCTCGATGTACGCCATGAACTTCGTGGTCAGTCCCGGCTGGTCTTCCGCCTTGGGGGTGACCGCGTCCTCCTCGTCCTCGTCCTCTATGTAGTCCACCTCCTGGCCCTCCTCCACCACTGAGGGCACAAACGCGGCGTTACAGCGGCAATCTCTACTGCTGCCACGGCATCGTCAGGTTTCAATTAGAACTAAACATCAAATGTATGTTTGTTGAACTTCTTTCGTGCCGTATGTAGTCAATGTGACTACGGGGAGAGAGAACACGCAAACTCCGAATATATAGACAACTGGGTCGAGATTGAACCCATGTCCTCCTGTATAGCAGGAGAGGCAGTTAACATCTCCCAGCCACCTTGGCGCCCCTAGATTGCACTTTCATGGAACTAGATTGCACTTTCATGGAACTAGATTGCACTTTCATGGAACACAGTGGATGGGAGGTACATGGTTAATACAGACAGGAACAATTCAGTTGTACACCCTCGGTCTCCACACACACAAGATCCACCCCGTATGGCAGTGGTCGTATTTCTTGTCGGCATCAACGGAGACTAAAGCTCAAGTTAAACTGCGAACCTCTCCCTCCTGGGGGGACAACACAATTGCTGTCGCACGTTGCTCCCGTTTCCCACGGGCAAACGGGCGATAGGAAAACCACAGAGACGGGGGGGGGGGGAGACTCACCGAGGCCGTTGCTCAGGGGCGTGTGGGGGGTTTCGCGTCGCAACCGCTGGTCCCGCGAGCTGTCCGCGCCGCGCATCAGAGCCGTCGACGCCGACTCCTCGTCCGAAGGCTGCTTCAAAGACGCGATGGCAGAGAGACTCGCGTCAAGATCGCACAAGGGCGGCGGCCGCGGCGACGGCCGCGAGCCAAAACAACTTGGCAGGGAGAAACATTGCGCGATGGGCACGGACAACGTGACCCTATCCAACGGGCGTCCGTCTCTCGACGTGTTGAACGAGCAGCACGGCGGAACCCCACAGGCGGGGATATTTCAGGTCAAAACTAATTTGCATATTTGGGAAAAAGTTATTTTTAATCTGGTTTAGGGTCACAAAGCAAAGCTTATAATTTTTGCAAACATGTTATCAATTTAGGCAGTTTTTAATACGGAAAGTCCCGAATAGTCATGTGTGCTACAGTTTACCTCATACCGGATAATCTTTACAACAGTTAAAGCCCCCCTCCGACAGAGTTAGTGCAAAGAATCAAAAACATGATTCTTCTTTTTTCGGATAGGTCAGAGTGCCTTAGGTCACTGCAACGCGCTCTTTCAGATGCGCTTCTGCGGCCATCTGGAACGCTCTTCCTTCTGATATTAGGAAGCCACCGGAGCTATGCACTTTTAAATCATCAAGATTGAAAACTCATTTCTTTAGAACTGCTTTTTATGTTTAGTTTGTTGTCTTTCCCCCGCACCTCCGATTATCACGATTGGCTACGTACGGTGCGAAAGATGTTCAACATACATACATACATACAGGTCACAACACATTCTAGAGGCTGCCCTTGTTGCTGAAACAGGGACAATGAATTCAACTGAATGTAAATTAAAGCAGCATTCAAAAGTCACCATAAAAACATAACATCGTCTCCATTGCAAGAGACAAGGGGATGATTTTGCCCACTTCGCACAGCACATGACTGAACCACGTGAGTCTCCTCATACTGGGCATGCATTGATCCGCTGAACTGAAGATTCAAGTCAACTCCATCGACTCACTAGCTTTGAGAAGGCGGCTTAACCAGAAGTGATGGCCTGGTCCTACCCAGAATCTCAATGGTGCAAAGCTCAATGCGCCCAGCTATGCATTCATCCTTAATGAGTTTTTTTTTGTCACTGCATGGACCTCTATTATTATTTCTGAAAAGATGTGAATAATAGGAGGAATTTAGCACTTCCAGAAGATGACTTCATAGAGACTTTCATAGAGACTTACGAAAATAACCATCCACTAAGGTTCAGCGTGCAGATTCAAGTAAAAAACATTACCGAGCAGTTTGCTGGCCAAGCGAGGAGCGTTTTCTACTCTCTGCGCCTCCATCAGCAAGCACGCACGATGCTCAAATCAAAAACACGGATGCGAGGGGTATGTATGCATCATACAGCCAGGAACATGACACGTGGTCTGTTCAATAACACGGATGTGCATTGTGCCAAACCGCAAGTCCTCCGTGCCCGTTTAATAACGCGTCACATTTCGGAGGCTACGTTGCCGGCAGAGGGCAGCACGGACATTTTTTTGTTTATTATATTATATGGTAGTATACTTCAACATCCACGCTCACCCGCCTTTGGCCAACCCGCGCAGTGACCATCGTGGCGTGCAGTACGGTCAAACGACCCCCAATGCCTACACGTTATGGGGGGCGGGGGGGGGGGAGGCCCTCGTTTTCCAGAGGCGCATTGACAAAAAAAGGGGCTGTAACATGCACACACGTCATCGCCCCCTGCGTTTCATGAACAGAAATCAAACTCGCAAGTCAACCCCCTTGCCTTGATGCGGTTACTACGTGCCTCGTTGCCAGACCAGCGCTTGTTGCCACTGTCGACGCTGTTGAACCCGGAATCGAGGAGTCCGCACGCCTTGTGCGGCACAAAATCCTCGGGAAGGCTGGCGGGGGAACACAAAACACAATCGAATGGTGTGAAACACACACAAAGACAAAGCTACGCCGTGTAGCCTACACAAGCTGCTGGGGCGAGTACTGTTCGTGAGCACCTATGAAGGCTGGCACGGCGCACGAGAGGGTGGTGTGGCAAGAACCACGCTGGCCGCCCGCCCGCCCACCTTTGCCACCCTTGTGCTGATGTTTACACACCACACCAGGTATTCATTTGAGACCGAGTCAATCTAAGGGAGGTCCAGGAGCGGTATATGCAGGTATCCCTCGATTTGCAAACGTATAGTTTATGAAATTTCGTGTTCACACAGTTGACAAATTAAGGACATTTTTCGATTAACGACATCGAATTTCAGCGCCAACACAATTTCACAACGGCCACACGCCACGAGATTAAACAAGAAGCACGCAGGAGGATGCCTCATCCATCCGAAACAGCGTCACGGTGTCCCGATAGTGCAAGAGTGACGCTTCCACATCGCCTTTACATTCATTACAACATGCAGCAGATCTGTTGGAGAGTTCCCTGAAAAGGCGCATTATTTTGTTTTTAATTAATTATTATTCAATCTTTTTAAGATTTCTGTTCTTCATTATTATATTTTTTCATTTATTATATTATATTGTGAATAGCGACATAGGTGGTTAAAATTTCTAGGTTAGTAGCATAGTTGAAATTACTGTCCGAAACACATTCCTAATTTTTTGGTATTAAATTAATGAGAAAAGTCAAATTTAGATTTACAAAATTGCATTTTACGCGTGTTTTTGAAGAGTGCATCGCTTTCATAAATCGAGGGATACCTGCAAATCAATCGCACATTCCGGTTGTGGCTAAGAATAAAACTGAAATTCACAGCACAATGCACCAACCACTCCACCACTGCTCCCCACCCCCGCCACACAAACACACAGAGCAGATGTCATGCCAAATATTTCACGAGCATTTTTCACAAATAAATGAAGGGGAGGGTTTAAGCGATTGCTGCGTGGGCGGATATCAAATTAACGCCAAAGCAGCCAGCTTCGAGCGTCAAGCCCTGCCGAATTGAATGACAATTCCGGCGCCCAGCGCACGCGCACGCTTGCTCCATCACTCACCATGTGGAGGAGCCGGCAGGCCTGATCAAGCGATCGGCGAGCTTCTTATCAAGCTTGCATGCCTCCATGTGCAGGTACTTGAAAATGTGATGCTTGCCCTTGATGCATATCTGCGTGAGACACGGCAGGGTCGCGCGATAAGCTAATGAGCCGTTCCCTTGTTTTGTATCGCTTTGCATGGGGCCTGGATAACAGACGACGTCTTTGCTTCTTCAACAGTGTCATGTTTAGAAGGGCAGACCGGCCCATAACACACCTAGGGGCCAGGGCAGAAATCAGCACCACTAGAATTGGCAAATATATAGGGTTACAAGCTTCTGTATATGGCAAATACAAGTGGAGTGTGTGATGACAAGCTTTTAAAACAAGGTTATTGCATTACCCACTTTGACTATTTTGGTGATTTAAAGATTTTAGTAACACTTAAGCTTTGCCATCTTTGATTCTGGCCCATAGACCAACACCCACTCTGACTTTCACGAAAGCAATTGGAAATTTGAGCATTTATATCATTTATAGATATAGCGATTCATTCTACATTTGCAAACCCCTAAATTTAACAAGGAGCAGCCCACTGAGAAACAGGTGGAACGAGGTGGGTAAACAGGAAGACCCAGGTGGGGTAAAGACAATGTATTGCATATCACAACACTGAAAAGTACAACTTTACAACACGTTCAAACCAAAATGGGTAACAGAAAGCACGAATATAATAATGGCGTAAAAGAGTAAGAAACAAAATTGAATTTGCACACACACATTGGGAAAAATCCACCCTGTGCAGGTATGGGCCCGCCTGCCTTCTAAGAAGACACTGGGTTATCGCATTCAACACCGCGTTTCCAAGCAACACTCTTGGACTCGCTCTCGGCTCGCCGCAAGGACTCGACGACATTCCTCTCGCCGATGCCAAGCCTTCCGGTTTAACCAGCCAGCGTGTGTGCCCACACGCACCTGTGCCGGCGGGCTTTTCATCGGGTTGTTGTCCAGCACGAGACTCTGCAGCTGCTTCAGCTTACGGAAGCTCACGGGGATTTCGCCCAGGCGGTTACACGACACGTCCAACTGTACCAGGGGCAAGTCCGCGATCTCTGTTTGGGGGCGCGGGGGGGGGGAGAGAAGGGAGTGTGTGGGTTCCCAGCGCCATGTGAATGGGCAAAAAACAATGAAATGACCTCCGTTATCCTTGATGGCGTTTGTCTTGCTTTCCCCCCCGTGGTGGCGGTCCTCGTCACCGGTTTTGACGTCAACGTGGTTCGCAACGGTTTGCCGTTTCGAGATGCAATTTGCGCGGGTGTTGCAATATAAAATTAAATTCAAATAATTGTATTAAATTACAAATTGCTATAGGAATTGTAAACGTGATACAGATTACTGATTAATGTAACCTTGTGTATATTGAGATACAAAGTTACCAATTACTTTGTGCGGTGTGCAATTTGGATACCCATTACGAACCCCACATGAGTGGGACAAACAAGTGGAAGAAGAAAAAACATTTAAATAACATGTGTTTTAGACGAGACTAGTCTATCTGGAGGAGGGTTACGCGTTTGCGATGGCAGAAGGCTCATTCCAAATTGACAAGGGCTCAGTAGAGATGGCAAGTAACACATCACAATTCCCGGTGGCGTGTGGCCTGGACCAGACAGAAGGTGAAGGGTGAAATGTGCATTCATGTCAATCGAGAGGTGGGATATTTACAGCTCGTTTAGTTTGTTAAAATATACACAGTGCGTCCTTGGAATACCGAGATTATTCGTGGGGTGGAGTGCTCCACTATACATCAGTTATGTACGCAGAGACCAACATATTGCCCATTTACAGCTTGTATTGTGGAGAAAAAGTTAAAAATAGCAGTGAAACCAACAAATATCATGTGCCTATTCTGGAATGCACAATCAATTTTTTATTTCTTAAACAATGCAGTGAACAACGAGCTTCTATTGGTGACTCAATAACATATGACGCATACTAATCATATAAATTTGCATAAGCATGCACTAATTGAATGCAGGTATCGGGAGCATAAGAATCTATTATAACTGACAAATTGGATGCACGGTTTCATGGCTAGTCCTCACACCGGCCAGTTGACCTGCTGTTGCCAAGCGTCCTCGACAAAATAGACCATTACGCTGAAAATAAACATGGTATCTTTTTACGTAAATAGATTTATTTTGTCACGTATCCGCCTTGCAAAGACCTCCACCCCCCCCCACCGTCCCTGCGCACCCCCCCTCCCCCACCATTTCCGTTCACGCACGACCGCACAGCTGACTGAGGCCGTCGCCGGAGCACCTAACGAGCTTGGAGGGGCCTCTAGTGAAGCGTAAGCGGTGCGCTACCGTCGGGCAGGATGACGAGATTGTTCCTGCGCACGTTGAGGTCACGGAGGCACGTCAGGCTCGCTATCTGGGGCGGCAGCGCCTGGATCTCGTTGCAGCTCACGTCCTACCAACAACACACACAAGATTGGCCGTCGGGACGAGCGGGTACTCGGACACGCGCCGCCGCCGCAGCAAGGACGCACGCACACACACTCACACACGCACAACCGTCCAAACACGAGAGTGAATGTGGAGGGAAAAACCGGAGAACCTGGAGAAAAATCCACGTGACCATGAGGAGAACATGCAAACTCCAAATATACAGGCATCAGGATCGGAATTAAACCCATGACCTCCTGCATACCAGGCGAGCTTGTTAACATCTTGCTACCGTGGACACAAAGACACAGAGGGAGACCATCACAACGACGCGCGGGCACACACACACAGTAGAGGTGGCGGATAATGCACATACGAGGATATAGGTACGTTTGGACACCAAGGTACCCATGGAGGAAAATGAGCGATGTGGCAACAGGAACGCGAATAGAAAAACACATGGAAGGGAACATGATGGGCCACAGGGGGCCAATGCAAACTGGAGTTTGACACGGCAATGGTGATTGCTGACGTTATCACTTCGCTGTTCCCGTCTGGTTTTCTTTGCAGCACAATTCATTTTACAACGGGTGTGCTCTGAAATGAATTTGCCAAGCGGGGTGGGCACAGTAGAAGCATTAATCGCTGTGACAACAATGGCTCCGTTTGAAGAGTACAACCAAAAAATAGCATCAAGATGACGGATTTATGGCATGCTCACGTCTGACCAGGCGTAATCCGTGCTTAGCGTGCTGTCCGGGAAACGAAGCACTCATTTATATTTGCTGTGCATCGAATCCACTTCTGTCAGCCGAGATGCTGTTAATTGAACCTCACTCTAGAGAGGAGCAGAGCCTTGCGCAGACATTTCCCTTTTTGAACGCTGCCTGTGCGGCGTCACAACGGATCACGCCGATCACAGCCCAACGAACCTCCAATGAAACCTTTCTCCTAGAATTCTACTCATCCGGCGATTGAAATACATGACATGACAAGGCTCTGCTTTCCCACCCTGAGGCCACCCCGTTATGTCCGCCAAAGGAAGCGGCGAAAGCAGAAACTTATCACTTTAAAACGCCTCCGTTTGTTTTGCTGCAAGTAATTGTTGTTTGTTAGAGGGCACAGTTAAAAATAACACTGGAACGCTAAGTAAGCAGCGCATGCAAAAGAGCGGGAAATGCATGCAAGGAATTGGTAACTATGTGAGACACTGCCTTTGTGGCTGGTTTGGGTCTGCCTTGTGCATTGCCTTTGGGACGTTTACGGAGATAAATCGTTGGAACTTGTGGGGATTGACGATTAAAATAAGGTTTTGCACCTTGGCAAAATTGATTCTAATGAAAGCATTGACATGATAAGAGGCAGAATAAAGTGCTGTCCATGCAGCGTTGATGTTCTCCCTGAATGCTCAAGCTGTATTTGAAACCGTAAAATATAATATTCTTCTTAACTTTAAGCTAGGACGGCTTAACCTTCGCTGCACCTGCTGCAGGTGCAGAGATTAAAGTAGCGATGCATTGTGGGTAACTGGTTGGGGAAGTGAGGTGGTGGGGTGTGGGCACTACAACTCCCTGTGAGCGTGTTCGTAGCCCGAGTCGGGAATTGCGAGTGGGAGTTAATAAGACGAATCCAGCGGACGCCGACAAACCAAGAAATAAGAGAGGCAGGCGACTGTAAATGTGAACAGCGGTTGAATAGATATGTAGACAGATTTGTTAGCAGGCAGAGACATATTGAAATCGGAAAAAATCACAGCCTCTTTCAAGAAAGTAGTCCATGTGCACAGACCACACATTTTTTACTTCTTGCGACCACCTGAGACGGCAAACGACGACACTCACCAGCGCCGAGAGCTCCTTCAGTTGCCCGAGCTCCTCGGGCAGTGACACCAGCTTGTTGTTGCTGGCATTGAGAACCTGCAGTGGCAGCTTGCACAGGTAGGGCGGGAGCGTCGTCAGCTGATTCCGGCTGCAAGACCAGAGCCGAAATCGAAAGGGGAGAATTTCGTTTAAAATTTTGGGGCGAAGAATGAAACACGTACGGAGCGCGTAATCAAAGGCAAAACCACCGTGCCAGCAAAAACACATGTGCGAGACAGAATGTAATGTCATGGCCAGAGGCCTCTGTGAGACATGTCAAATGTGAGTAAAACCTTTCTTTCTATGTGCCCAGACAATTCTAACTACCCCCCCGCAGCTATCCGCAAACACAATTTGTCTCCAACGGCTGGCTTTTGCATTTAAGACGGTACCGCGACAACTCGAAAAGACTGCAATATTAACGGCGATAGTTAAAACATCTGGAATGTAATCGTTATTTAATATTTTAGACACACTTCCATACATGCCGTAAAATCTCAAACGCACACGGACACACAAAGGTTTCAACTAAAAACATAAAAAAATGCACGTTCGTCCATAACACTGCCTTAAAAGGAAAAATGTATAGGATAGGTGACGTTTTTGCCAACGGCCCCTTCTTCATAACACATTTATTTATGTGGTCAGTTATAAGTGAGGAAGGGTGATGCATCAGAAGGGTCACTGTCCTAAGTATTGCAAATTATATAGTTTAAACCACGTAGGCTTTTCACGACCAATATCATCCATAATATAGCTTTTTTTTTGGGTTAGATCGTGTAAATATAAATGTCGTTAAACCCGCCACCACCCAACAAAGCCAATTAGTAAGGTTTGTCACGTAAACAGAACATGCCAATTTGTTACCAGTACAGCACACCGGTGTGTCGGAGAGAAAATCCACAACATTTACAATCTTGCTCTCCAACACACATTTACAATCTCAGCAGATTGTAAAATGTTGTGGATTTGCTCTCCAACACACCGGTGTGCTGTACTCGTAACGAACTGGCATGTTCTGTTTCCATGACAAACCTTACTAATTGGCTGTGTGGGGTGGTGGCGGGTTTACAACACATTTATATTTACGCAATCTAAAAAAAAAACCCCGATGTTATGGGCAAATGATATAGATTTCTCTTTAAAAGGCCAGTGTTATTCATGAATGTGTTGGTTTTTTTTTTGCTATTTGTGCTTGTGCATCACCAGACAATACAGTATCACCAAATAATTTCTGAATATATCTCTTCCTGCCATTTCCTGCCTCTAAGGCACATCCGGCAGGATTAATGTAAGAAAGGCATCAAACAGGAAACAGCGATAGTAGATTCCATACTCCAGTAGCGCCGTCTAGCAGATGCTGGACATGCTTGATGCAAGCGTGCAATACGATGAGAATTTCAGCATTGCCCCGTGGCCTCTCTCAAGCGCCAGTGTAACGTCACTCCTGAACGCGCCATGACAATCGGGAAAACAGGTTTTTGCTCGGCTGAGTCTGCGAATACTTTGGGAAGATACAATCTGTTCGCCGATGGAAAAAAATCAACAAAGAATGCACCCTATTTTATCAAATCTCGGAAGCTAAGCATGAATGCACCTAAATATTCCTTGCATGGTAGACCAACCATGCACTCAACTGGCGTCATAGGCTGCTACGGGCTCACGTCAAAAAAACAATGGTTGTACTCTACCATGCTCCCAATGTCTACGGTCCCCGCTCTCACCAACCCGTACTGACCACCATGGTGATGTTTGGTCGTCAAATAACAGTTCGGACCCAAATAGCGTGGGGAGGCCCTAATGCAGCAGTGGATTGACAAACGGCTGTAGGTGTACAATCTGTTCATTTGGCAAGAGTGGGCAAGTGTCCAAATCCAGCCTTAAGATGGGCTCACAATGGCCTCCTACAGAGGGCATCATGGGGTCTTTTAGATATCGACTCAAGCAAGCAGATGGTTGCTTACAGTTAATCGTAAAACATCCGTTAGTGTACAGTTATATTGGACTGACATTTGTTTTGAACCCTGGACTCACTGCTGCGCAAGCCACACATTTAAATGGACTTCTCTTTCACATGTCCACATAATAAATTATGTCTCCGTCACGTAAAAATATATTTGGGTTTTCCAGACCAATATTGTACATGCACAGACCCTTTGGTAACTCCACCACTGCATTAGGGACTCCCAACGTTATTGTCAATCGTGAGTGTTAGTTGTACAACAAAACTTCGCTGTATTCTCCAGATTATAAGACTCACTTTCCTTCTACTTTAAAGCAAAAGTCAGGGGAGGGTGTCTTATAATGTGGTAGGTGTTTATATGTGACCAGATTCGTATATATTGTTTTTTATAGCCAGTGGACAGGAGTCTGGGGTGCCTCTTACTTTTTGAAGCATCTTAAAATACGGAGACTACGGTGAACATATAAATCACTAAGACATATGTAACTGTAATCACACACCCAATGTCCCAGCACACAGGTCCACATCGATTGTTGTGATAATCAGCGATTGTTGACTCAACTATATTTTTATTTTACCAGATAAATCCCACCGAGCTATACAGCTCTTTTTCAGAAATGACAGTTCAACCAAGTGGCTCATTATGTGGAAATTTATAGCAGCGACTATGGGGAGAGAGAAAGACATGCAAAAACTCCAGATATACAGTAGGCATCAGGGTTGGGATCGAACCCATGACCTCCTGTATACCCGGCGAGGTAGTTAACATCTCCTAGCCACCTTGGCGCCCCTAGATTGCACTTTCATGGAACTAAGTTGCACTTTAATGAATACAGTGGATGGGAGGTACATGGTTAATACAGACAGGAACAATTGAGTTGTACACCCTCGGTCTCCACACACACAAGATCGACCCCAGTGGTCGTATTTCTCGTTTGCATTAACGGAGACTAAAGTTCAAGTGAAACCATGCACCTCTCCTCCTGTAGCACCGCACAATTGCTGTCGCATGTTGCTCTGTTTATCATGGGCTGCAACAGAGAGACAATGAGAACGTTGCACATGGCTCTGCACAGCGCAACTTTGTTTTGTTGCACATTCGACACCCGTTTTGATTGGCTGGAAGGGATCACGTGATCAACGACACACCTAAAATGACTGTATATTAATATGGATATTACAGCGTGAAGATGTTTTACTAGAAAAATATATTAAAAAACTTAAACCCACGTGTACTTATCTTAGCTATTTACCTTGGTATTTTTGATGTGCATATAATTAACTAAAAATGTCTCGTTATTTTTGTTACATTTATAGGCCGATGACATAACTTTATCAGGACCGAGGCTCCCACAAGGACATGCGGGAGGGTGTATGGCACAGTTTGGTGGCAGCTATCGTAGTGTGCGGTCGTGTTGCTACGGTTCTCTGCGGTGAGCACAATGTCTTTAAAATAACGGCGTTACGCCTCTAAATAAAATTTATGCCGAAACACTTGAGCTTCAGCGGTGAACGGGATACCCCCAACCCCGCAACTTGCAGATGTCTCGGAACGGGAAAGGGTTGAAAATGTCTCAGGTGGTACAAAAGAGACGCGAACAAACTGCAGCCCTCGACGCGGAATGTCGCGCGGAAACATTGGAATCACGTGAACAAAATCGAGGAGGGCAGAGGAGAGCCGAGTAGTGGCACGCGAACGCTCGGGCCCCCACCTGATGTTGAGATAGGTGAGCGAGCGAAGGTTGACGATGGCCTCGGGGATGCTGCGGATGCAGTTGTGGTAGAGCACGAGGCTCTCGAGAGACACGAAGTGGCACACCTCGAGCGGCACCTCGTTCAGCCTGTTCTTCGACAGATCTGTAGGGGCAGGGGGGGTGGGGGGGGCACGACGGCGAACAAAAAAAAAAACAACGTTCAAATCCCGGCGAGCGCGCGGGCCCCGATCTCGAAAAAATTATTAGAGTTGAGAGCCAGTGGTTAGTATTCGTGTGGAGGAGGTTTCCTGAGAAAAGCAGGTACGCATGTGTGTGTGTGTGTATGTTGAACTTCTGTCGCACCATACAAAGCCGACCGTGCTCATCGGAGGTGCGGGGGAAGGCCAACAAACTAAACACAAGAAGCGGTTCTAAAGAAACGAGTTTTAAATGTAGATGATTTATAAGTACATAGCTCCCAGTGGCTTCCTATTGTTGGAAGGAAGAGCATTCCAGACGGCTGCAGGTGGGTGTTGGTTTTGATTGCGAGGCGACCACAAGATTTAAATACGGCAATAGATTCTTAAATCAATCTGTACGGAAGTTTGAGCGTTATCCTCTCCGTACTCGTGGCTTATCACTGGGCACTTAAATTTCCTCCCACACAATGGCAAAAAACCGTTAATCGCATTGGCCAAACATCCCAATGCAGAAATCTCTTTCAAAGGAGTCTTGAGACACGCCTGTATTGCTTTCTATCACGTAAAAATATAAAAAAAAAAGTAAATAAAAGAAAGTTGGAGAAAATAACACAACACTGAAACAACTGAAAATCAAAAGCCAATTGTGGAAGGTACAAATTCAATGCTCGAGTGGCGCCTTGACAACCCGCAGGACTAAAACTGGACCGACGGAAGTGTGACGTGGCTCACAATACGTCGGCAATGATCTGCACAATGTTCACGTTCTTGGGTCTCGGGGAGGCGGCTTTTGAGATTTTTTTACCATGTTTTTATCTTCTGCGATCCTCCCCAAAACCCTTAAATTAAACGTGAGAAAAGGTATATCTGCCCAGATTAATCTAAAGGGCACACACTGTACCCACTGTGGATGTTTTGCGCGAATAAAGGTAAGCACCTATCCCACCCGACAGCAAGCAACTCATTACTCGCTCTCACATTCTCAAAACAACAACTACAACCCCCTTCCTCTGGCCCGACACTGCCCAGAAATCTACGTTGTGCCCTTTCTTCCGCTTGATCGCGCAGGCGTTGTGTACAACCACCCCACCGCCTCAGCTACACCATCATGAATGAATGATGGAGAACAGGTTCAAATGAAAGGTGAACTTTGAACAATTGTTGTGGGGGTTTTTTTTGTTCTGGTGCAATGTGGTGTGGGGAGGAAGGAGGGATCAGTGTCGGATATTACGATCTAGTTAAGCTTCTAAGGAACACAGCTGTTTCCGAATCCTTTCCCAAAACAACGCGAGCGGATGGTGAAGAGCTTCTAACAGTGGCACACAGTGGCACGCACGAACACTTCTGCAACAAAGCCTTCCAATTATTTTTTAGGGAATTAAATTGAAATCTCTGCTCCAAATCACAGTAACAGTATCCCACGGACACTTATAGTTATTCTTTGGTTTTTTCGGTAAAGTCACGTATAAAAATAAAATAATAAATTAAATAATAGCATACGACGTTTCGATTGCAACACAAGCAATCATCATCAGGTATAATGAAATAGCGACATAGAATATAACCAGAATACTATAGACAGACATATAAGCAGACAGATATCACCAAGATACATAGAGAGAGCAACCCAGGTACAGAGAGAGGTGATCGTCTCTGTGGGGTGGCCTTAAATAGACAGAGGGGGGCCACCCCACAGAGGGGGGCCACCCCACAGAGACGATCACCTCTCTCTGTACCTGGGTTGCTCTCTCTATGTATCTTGGTGATATCTGTCTGCTTATATGTCTGTCTATAGTTTTCTGGCTATATTCTATGTCGCTATTTCATTATACCTGATGATGATTGCTTGTGTTGCAATCGAAACGTCGTATGCTATTATTTAATTTATTATTTTATTTTTATACGTGACTTTACCGAAAAAACCAAAGAATAATTCCTGCAGTCACGAAAGCTCCAAAATTAACACTTATAGTTAGTTTATGAAAGTGTTGTGAATTCTGTGCGCATCAAGGAATTTTAATTAAGCCATCACCCCAGCCTGATAATTTTATAAAGTCTTGTGATTAGAGTCACGATGATTCAATACCAAATTTGTATCACTTCCTATGGAACTCGCAGCATGCATGTATGTGTACGCAGAACTTTAGTAGGTACGCAGCCAACCGTGCTAATCGGAGGTTCGGGGAGGGGTGCTGCACAATCGCATCATGTGCTTAACAATTGATATGAATGAACGAATCAATGGACCATGGCGACTCCACTTTAGTTTGAACACATGCATAACCCACTCTTTTATTATGGGGCACCTTAGTAGTTACTCCACAAGCTTTCTCTACGGCGTCTTGAATTGCAGCAGCAATCCAAAGCAGTGGGGTTCACGGCTCTGGAGCTCCCTCGGTGAATGGGCACACGAGCGGTATCGTTCCGTGGTGATATCTTCCACCCTCGTTACGCAAACTGCGGGACTTCAACACCGAAGCTATCTGTGAGCTACTGTGGCTCCATGGGGGACTGAAAAAAGGGGGCCGTTTGAGTTCCCCGAGTACAACCCGTGATTCTGTGAACATGACTCTCCACCACAACCCACACAGCATGACATTATAATTTCCATCCCAATGCGTTTGGTAAAGTTCATTAATAAAACTAAACTGTTTTTATTTTACTAGGTAAGGCCCACGAAGCTATGTAACTTTTGTTCTGAAGCAGCCTAGCCACAAATGATAGCTCAACAAAGTGACTTATCGGGTTGGAAATTGATTGCAGAAAAATAAGCGCATGTTTATAAATGCGGGGGGACAAACAGGAGGACCCGGAGAAAAATCCAAGCGGCCACAGAGAACATGCAAACTCCAATAGAGGCATCAGGGTCGGGATGTAACCCACGACCTCCTGTAGACAAGGAGAGGTGTTTAACATCTCGCCACCGTAGCGCCCTGAAATCGAGGGAGGCGGCTGGAAAACTGCACTTCTAATGTGCTGTGTTCGAATCTGGGTTTCAATCACCTACGATTAAACTCGTTTCAAGTGTAGGGAATTGCGGGTCTCAGCCCCATCACTAATGACTGCACAAAAAAAGCCACTGCATTTAATTTGGTTCTGCACTTCACCGGAGGTAAATGACATTTCTGGGAATTAAATATATTAGTTTGACAGTCATGCTTAATAATCTCATCGCAGAGTCTATGGGAACGTGTGCTTTCTTCTGTTTGAAGGATACAAATTCCACTTAAAGAATCTATCATAAATCCTGTGAAAATCTCTTCCACGGCTGTTGCCCTACACGTGGAGTGATGCACCGCTCTGTAATATTTCAGAACAGATTTCTTGATCTGTACTTGATGTTAACAGCACAATTGGAATAAACAGAGCCAAAGACAAATCTAAATGAAATTAAGATTTTTGAAAATGCAGAGAGGTTTGTAAACATAACACCCACATTAATGATAGGTTCTGCTCTCATGAAAAGAAAGCCTTGATTGCAGTACACTGACAACATTCAGCACTACGGTTTCATGCACAAACATAACCCAAGCAACGGGCTTTTAAACGCTCAAGATCGCAGCAATGAAAGAAAAAAAAAATCGCATTGACCTCATGTTAAACGGAATAAGAAATCCCGGGTTTTTTCAAAATGATAAAAGGATTTAGTCATTGTCACTTAAGAGTAAGAATTGACATTTCCTGCAGAAGGCCAGTTGACCAAACCGTTAAGATAGTTATCTAATCTGAGTCAAGATGAAAAAACATGCAATTATTTTGATTAAGCAGTTATTCATTGCATAAGCTCACTGAAGCAGCAACTTTACGCTAGAACATTACCCTTTAGTTTTACGATCTAATAATATGAATTTAGAGAACTAAGGCTATGCGCGATTAAACAGAAAAATTAATTACCCAGAGTTGATTTCTAATTTCTTGTCGTTAAACCATGTTGACCAGTGACCGTATATGTCGTGTGCTCTCAAAGGGCCTCTCAAAGTGAAACGCACAATAAATGTTAATCGGGGCATCAGCTGTGACGCCCCCAGATAACATTCTGTATGGTTGTAGATAAAAGAGTCAAGAGCCTGTACATAATTATTCTGAGACACGTCAAATCGCACCAGATCTCTTTCTAAAGCACCTCTCGAAACATGCAGGCTTTGCTTCTTTAACCAAGATTTTATCATCGACAACAAAGAAAACATTGAGTTTGTTATTGTTTCCACTTGGGCAACAGCCTGTTGGCCTAAATCTCTCTCTCTCAAATGCAGCCTTGGCATGTTTCATAAATGTTTCCAGGACGCACGACCAAGTGGCGCCTTTATCTCCAGGTGATGCTCAGGGTAAAAGATCTAGCATCGCGTGTCGTGTCTGTTAGGTTATGTGCGACATTTAAATCCCACTCTTCGGCACGAAGGCTTGAGACCAGAGGCCCAATACTCTCGCATTTCCAACACGCACAATTTATAGATGCACATCCCACGCTAAACTTACATGCACCAGTTTCTCGTTACTGGTTGTTTTGCTGCTGTAAATTTATATAAATTGGCTACACATGCATGTAGACAAACACAGGCTGTGTTCATGGGATAATGATAATTTAATTAAAGCAAGCCATACGCTTACAATCCCATGGTGTGGGAACTTTTCAATGGTGAGGGCACCGCAATATAAATCCGGCGGCTTGAGTTTGATTCTTGGTGGCAGCTAGGATCAGTGGCAAGTGATATCTAAACTGGTCATACACCCCCCCCCCTCATCGCCCCTTCACCACCCCCCACATGGACCAGTTTGGTGAAATATGGTCAAACAAAAAGGTTGGACGAGGCCTTCATCCAGTATAGGATGACAAAGGGTTAAAACATAGAACATATTTGACTATTTTTATCTTCTCAATGTTCCAAGAATGCTGAAGTATATTCGGCATCATAAAAAAACACCAACGCAGTTTTAAAAATGGCAATCTGCAAACCCTCACACT